CTGCTCCACTCTGTCACCTCCAGGTTTTTCCATGTTCCGGACACCATCGCCCTGGAAACGTAATATGGTTAAAATACATACACATAGTTTGATGGTATTTGTTTAGTTTGTTCAGTTTATTTAAGAAAAGCCCCTGAAGATGAATCGTCTAATTTTCAAGGGGGTCCTAAACATAAATACAAACATACAAACGCATAAACATAACACTTTGCAGAGCATTAAGGATAAGAAAAGATAATTACATGAATACACACAAATATTATTAAAAAAAATAATATAAAAATCTCAAAGTAAAAAAAAACATAAGAAGGTAAAACTAGTAGAATAAATCCATGTATACTTGTAGTTCTATGGTACCTATGTGTAGTTCTATGGTACCTATGTGTAGTTCTATGGTACATACGTATAGTTTTATGGTTAATGCGTGTAGTTATATGGTACCTATGTGTAGTTCTATGATACCTATGTGTAGTTCTATGGTACCTATGTGTAGTTCTATGGTACCTATGTGTAGTTCTATGGTACCTGTGTGTAGTTCTATGGTACCTATGTGTAGTTCTATGGTACCTATGTGTAGTTCTATGGTACCTATGTGTAGTTCTATGGTACCTATGTGTAGTTCTATGGTACCTATGTGTAGTTCTACGGTACCTATGTGTAGTTCTATGGAACCTATGTGTAGTTCTATGTACCTATGTGTAGTTCTATGGTACCTATGTGTAGTTCTATGGTACCTGTGTTTAGTTCTATGGTACATGTGTGTAGTTCTATGGTATATATGTGTAGTTCTATGGTACCTATGTTTTGTTCTATGGTACCTGAGTGTAGTTCTATGGTACCTATGTGTAGTTCTATGGTACCCGTGTGTAGTTCTATGGTACCTGAGTGTAGTTCTATGGTACAAATGTATAGTTCTAAGGTACCTATGTGTAGTTCTATGGTACATGTGTGTAGTTCTATGGTACCTATGTGTAGTTCTATGGTACTTATGTGTAGTTCTATGGTACATGTGTAGTTCTATGGTACATGTGTGTAGTTCTATGGTACCTATGTGTAGTTCTATGGTACATGTGTAGTTCTATGGTACCTGTGTGTAGTTCTATGGTACATGTGTAGTTCTAAGGTACCTGTGTGTAGTTCTATGGTATAGATGTGTTGTTCTATGGTACCTATGTTTTGTTCTATGGTACCTATGTGTAGTTCTATGGTACCTATGTGTAGTTCTATGGTACATATGTGTAGTTCTATGGTACCTATGTGTTGTTCTATGGTACCTATTTGTAGTTCTATGGTACCTGTGTGTAGTTCTATGGTACCTGAGTGTAGTTCTATGGAACAAATGTGTAGTTATATGGTACCTATGTGTAGTTCTATGGTACATGTGTGTAGTTCTATGGTACCTGTGTGTAGTTGTATGTACCTATGTGTAGTTCTATGGTACCTATGTGTAGTTATATGGTACCTGTGTGTAGTTCTATGGTACCCATGTGTAGTTCTATGGTACATATGTGTAGTTATATGGTATAGATGTGTTGTTCTATGGTACCTATGTGTAGTTCTATGGTACCTGTGTGTAGTTCTATGGTATAGATGTGTTGTTCTATGGTACCTATGTGTAGTTCTATGGTACATGTGTGTAGTTCTATGGGATAGATGTGTTGTTCTATGGTACCTATGTGTAGTTCTATGGTACCTGTGTGTAGTTCTATGGTACCTGAGTGTAGTTCTATGGTACAAATGTGTAGTTCTATGGTACCTATGTGTAGTTCTATGGTACATATGTGTAGTTCTATGGTACCTGTGTGTAGTTCTATGGTACCTATGTGTAGTTCTATGGTACATGTGTAGTTCTAAGGTACCTGTGTGTAGTTCTATGGTATAGATGTGAAGTTCTATGGTACCTGTGTGTAGTTCTATGGTACCCATGTGTAGTTGTACCCTACTCTGTCGTGTTTTTGTTATATGTTGTTATGTCTGTGAATGTGTTTTTTGTGGTGTATTCTGTCTGCATTGTTTTTGTTTGTTTAAATAATGATAAAAACTTAAAAAAGGAACTGGCCTTTTGACTTCTAAAGTTCCCAGAATCCAGTCTGTAAACAACGACTTCTTCTTTGTTTCTATTGGTGGAGTGTTGTTGCAGGCCACAGAGCCTGACCACAGCTCCTCCTCCTGCTGCTGCAGACACAGGCTCTCGCTCTGCTTCACCTTTCTGTCTGAAAAAAGCTGCTCTCAGCATCAGCCACAGGCCAAACAAACATCATGTGAACACGAGCGACAGACGCAAACTGTAAAAGAGCAAAGAACTGCAAACAGTACATTTAGTCTTGGACAATGCAACATAAGACTGTTGAATTCAGGAGAAAACATCATAACACTACATATAATAACAAACCATACAATAGACTGCCATTGAGGGTATACACACACACTCACACACGTGTGCGCACACACACACACACACACACACACACACACACACACACACACACACACATACACACACACACACACACACACACACACACACACATTTTAAAATATTTAAATGAATAAACAATAAAACTTTGTATATGATTTTTGTGCAAAAGTCAAAACCTCATACCTAACTCACCCTCTCATATGTGACTCACCCTCTCATATCTAACTCAACCTCTCATATGTGACTCACCCTCTCATATCTAACTCACCCTCTCATATGTGACTCACCCTCTCATATCTAACTCACCCTCTCATATGTGACTCACCCTCTCATATCTAACTCGCCCTCTCATATGTGACTCACCCTCTCATATCTAACTCACCCTCTCATATGTGACTCACCCTCTCATATCTAACTCGCCCTCTCATATGTGACTCACCCTCTCATATGTAACTCACCCTCTCATATGTGACTCACCCTCTCATATGTGACTCACCCTCTCATATCTGACTCACCCTCTCATATGTAACTCACCCTCTCATATGTGACTCACCCTCTCATATGTGACTCACCCTCTCATATGTAACTCACCCTCTCATATGTGACTCACCCTCTCATATGTGACTCACCCTCTCATATGTGACTCACCCTCTCATATGTAACTCACCCTCTCATATGTAACTCACCCTCTCATATCTAACTCACCCTCTCATATGTGACTCACCCTCTCATATCTAACTCACCCTCTCATATGTGACTCACCCTCTCATATCTAACTCGCCCTCTCATATGTGACTCACCCTCTCATATCTAACTCACCCTCTCATATGTGACTCACCCTCTCATATCTAACTCGCCCTCTCATATGTGACTCACCCTCTCATATGTGACTCACCCTCTCATATGTAACTCACCCTCTCATATGTGACTCACCCTCTCATATGTAACTCACCCTCTCATATGTGACTCACCCTCTCATATGTGACTCACCCTCTCATATGTGACTCACCCTCTCATATGTAACTCACCCTCTCATATGTGACTCACCCTCTCATATGTGACTCACCCTCTCATATCTAACTCACCCTCTCATATGTAACTCACCCTCTCATATGTGACTCACCCTCTCATATGTGACTCACCCTCTCATATCTAACTCACCCTCTCATATGTGACTCACCCTCTCATATGTAACTCACCCTCTCATATGTGACTCACCCTCTCATATGTGACTCACCCTCTCATATGTGACTCACCCTCTCATATGTGACTCACCCTCTCATATGTGACTCACCCTCTCATATGCAACTCACCCTCTCATATGTGACTCACCCTCTCATATGTGACTCACCCTCTCATACAGTATGTGACCTCACCCTCTCATATGTGACCTCACCCTCTCATAAGTGACCTATTTAGTGGATTTGAGCATTGGAAATCTGACCCAGAAGTATGTAATAAAGAAAACTATGCAGACTTCCATATTTAAAATGACCATAACACATTGAACGTATGGAGTGGACAGAGCTAAAAGCAGCTCCAGGTCGGTGACAGATGAAGGATCAGTGATACGTTTTTGTTTCAGCCCAAGTTAAGGATGGATTTTCTTCATGTAGGACTGAGGTGTAGGAGCCTTTGCCACTTTCTCGTATTCCTCAAGAGCAAAAGTCTGTCCCTGATTGGCTGAACGGAGGAAGTGATAATCCAGCGTGTGTGTACATGGCGTATCCGTGTCACTGGTGCTAATCCTCACCCCTCCAGACCCCACTCCAGACCCCCCCGGCTGCCCCCCTTTTGTCCCAAATGAGGCCCTGTTAGCTGCTGCGATCCATCTTGTGTATGCTGCTATTTTATATTCTAAGAGAGACCCTGAGACTATTTACATGTAACGGTCTTCTTCTGGTTCCGACATGGTTCGTTATCAAAAACAGACCTGGAGTTGTTTATGCAAACAGGAATCTCAGACACAAATTCGTCCCCTGGCCCCTTCTGTCTAAATGCGTTGTTTTTCAATGCGGTACTATCACACGACCATCTCCAGTTAAAGTACTTTCTGTTCGACCCTCAGCATAATTCACCCCAGGTTGTTTAATTTCTGAGTACGCTGCAAAAATGTATAATATATGGGGTACTAATAGCTTGAATCGTTATTATCCTAATCCTAGTCTTAACACAAGATTCACCAATTTCAAGAACTGTTGCTTTATTTTCTCATTCCAAGAGACACATTTCTTGTATTTTTTAAAAAGCGAGATCTTTTTGTTTTGTCCCATTAGTAAATCTTGTTTTAAAGCAGTCAGAATGTGCTCAAATTAAGATAAGTTTTGCCATATCCGAGCATTTTTTGTCTTATTTTTTTATCATTTTTTGCAGCGTAACATCAGAATTGTGGCATACATTTTCTTAAGGGCCAAAATGAACACAAATAAGTCCCCGTGACTACATATTTTGGGGCAAGGAGGGGGCTTAATCCTGCAGCGCGTCTCTGGAGGGGAGAGTGTGTGGGATAGGTAGGGAGGGGGTCTGGCCCGGTCTGTGATTGGACCGTGGAGATGCGGGGCTCAGTCTGGCTCCTGTTACCATGGCGCACAGAAACAAAAGGATGCTGCGCTGGTGTCAGTGTCGCCACAGCGGGATTAGAAGTTCCTCTCTGGACCTCCTTCTGTCCCAGGAGCTAGTTCCGTCCATGGACCTGTGTCTGTCCTAGGAGTGAGGCTGTCCCAGGAGCTAGTCAGTCCCAGGACCCGTGTCTGTCCCAGGACCTGCGTATGTCTGTGTGAGTGCTGCTTTATGCCTTTCCTTTTCTTACGACATGAAGATTAGAGAAGCTGCTCGATCGTGTCTCTGCTTCTAGATGCACAGTTTGCTTTTGAGACTTGAATTTTTGTGTGTCGACGGTGTGGGTCTGCAGTTCGTGCTTCAGTTTGTTGTCGATTCAAAGTAAATGAGGCTCGGTCCAGGACAGAGTGGTTAGCCCTGGGTTTGTCATTAGTGACGGCATTCTTCTCTCTCTTTAACACTTTGTGGTCATTTTACTTTTCCCCAGATTTTGTTTCTTTTAGCATATTTTAGTCATGGAGCACGCTTCAAAACCAGACACAGACCCACAAAAACTAGATTAAATTTCAACTACAAGTTCTAGTTCCATCTTCAGACCAGGGTTAGGGTTAGGGCTTCAGCCTTGGTCATTCAGTGGGGGCTTCAGGCAAAGTGGGGGCAGTGGCAGGGGACAGGCCTGTATTGTTGGGCACAGATGGGGCATTGAGCTTCGAGCAGTGAGTCAACAGCTCCTGCCCACACTGGAGCTGTGTCTCTGCAGAAGGCCGGGTTTAAAACAACTGCAAAAGGCCTTATAATTCAATACTTTCACTATTATTATAAACATATTTCATGAGATAAAATAAGAGTACATGTGATTAAAAGGAACAAGTTTACAAAGTTGCTTGTTAGTTGTTGGGGGAGACCTGTGAAATGCGCAGTAAGTGCAGTATGTTATTGCACTTGCCCTAAACCTAAAGTGCAGTATGCTCGCACCAAAATATATTAGTGACATGTTAGTCCCATATGAACCAGCCCGGACTCTGAGGAGCACAGGGACTGGACTCCTGTTAGTGCCCAGAGTCAGAACTAAACTAAACATGGGGAGGCTGCTTTTCAGATTCATGCTGCTAAAATCTGGAACAGTCTTCCTGAAAGTGTGAGACAGGCCTCCTCTCTGACGATGTTTAAATCCAGGTTAAAAACAGTTCTGTTTAGCTGTGCATACAACTGAGGGATTTTATATTATTTTTATACTTTCTTTTTAATGTACTGTGATTATTTATGATTTTAATGCTATCTTGTCTTGTTCAGCGCTTCGAGTTGCTTTGTGAATGATTTGTGTTTTACAAATAACTTGCCTAGCCTATGTTATTGCACTTGCCCTAAGTCTACAGTGCAGTATGTTATTGCACTTGGCCTAAGTCTACAGTGCAGTATGTTATTGCACTTGGCCTAAGTCTAAAGTGCAGTATGTTATTGCACTTGGCCTAAGTCTAAAGTGCAGTATGTTATTGCACTTGGCCTAAGTCTAAAGTGCAGTATGTTATTGCACTTGGCCTAAGTCTACAGTGCAGTATGTTATTGCACTTGGCCTAAGTCTAAAGTACAGTATGTTATTGCACTTGGCCTAAGTCTACAGTGCAGTATGTTATAGCACTTGGCCTAAGTCTACAGTGCAGTATGTTATTGCACTTGGCCTAAGTCTACAGTGCTGTATGTTATTGCACTTGGCCTAAGTCTAAAGTGCAGTATGTTATTGCACTTGGCCTAAACTTGACGTACAGTATGTTATTGCACTTGCCCTAAACCTTAAGTGAAGTATATTATTGCACTTGCCCTAAACCTTAAGTGAAGTATATTATTGCACTTACCCTAAGCTTAAAGTGCTATATGTTGTGGCACTTTCCCTAAGTCTACAGTGCTGTATGTTATTGCACTTATTCTACCTTAAAATGCAGTATTTTATTGCACATTATGTCCCGTGGTCTCTGTCCATAATGCACCAATTGCTCTAGGTGTGTGTTATCATTCCATGTTTGATTCTCTGATCTGTGTTGGCGAATCGACAGTTTTGTAAAGTCCTCCAAGATACCTACTGTTGTGATTCAGGACGATACAAAAAAAAAAAAAAAACATTGAATTGAAATGGATTGAAAAGGATGCGATCTGAAAGGACAAACGAGACACACAGCACTAGACCACGTCCTCAGTAGCAGCTGTCGGCCCACTCCAGTGCCCATGGTGCCGTGTGGTGCCAGGCTGAGTGCCCACGGTCTGCCCCCTCTGATCTGACCCTCTGTGTGTGTGTGTGCGTGTGTGTGTGCGTACAGGGGACATCACACAGAAGGGCTACGAGAAGAAGAGGAGTAAGCTGCTAGCGCCGTACATCCCGCAGATCCAAGGTAAACGACTCTCTCACACAAACACCAGGCTTTTGATTTTACTCAATTACACTTCTGTTATTGTTGTTAATGAACACACATATAAACTGTTCACTGTCAAAACTGGTCAAACTTGGAGTAATACCGGGAATTGTTTAAATCAAGTGGTTATTGTCTTAATCCGAGCACATTCTGACTGTCTTTAAACAATAGAATAGTGGCAGGAGCTCTGGTGTGTACTATCCTCTCTGTCTGGTGCACACTGGGGTAGTCTTGCACAGTTTTTCCAATGTGGTTTTACTGCAAATGGCAAATACATTCGGCAATGGGACAAAACCATTTAGTCTTATTTTTAGAACGGTTGCTTTATTTTAAATTAAAGTGATTGTTTGGAGTTTGTCAGAAAAAAGAGAGAGAGGTACGTAAATTAAATTTCTCCTTTGTGAGATCAATAAAGTTTATCTTATCTTTTCTTATCTTTCCGTATCAATCAATCAACACATTTAAATGTTAATCAGAGAACACATTATACATATACATTATTAACACACGTGCACAAGGTTTTCAGAATTATTTGTTAACGTTTTCATGACAAATATAATGTTTTAATGCACAAAAAATGCGATCGTGGTAAACCCAGAAGTAGCTATTAACGTTGATTGAACATTATAGGAACATCTGCAGAGGATCTGATTATGGATATAGGTTCAGTATATAAATGATTATGGATATAGGTTCAGTATATACATGAGTAACTCAGCGCGGATGTTCAGAATTCTTTGTTCAGTTTTCATGTTGTTCCAGAGCCGATAAAGGCTTGATTCGGAGGCTCCGTGAAAACAAACAACTGAGCAAAGGAAGGTTTCTCACCCATCATCTGTACTTCTTAGCAAGTTTTCCCGACGTTTCGTCCTCAATCCTAAGGACTTCTTCAGGGAATGAATTCTCAGATCGCGCGTTGGAGATTTATAACCTATGATACTAACTCATAAACAATCTAAGGTCTGTTTGATGTAGAAGGGAGCAGGTCTAACGACCCTGCTGAGGCTAACGACCCTAACTCCTTAGCATGTCACTGACCTATTATCTGCTGGGATGCTCAAGTGGAGTGCAGGTCTCACCCCTCCTAACGCATTAGCATGTCACTGACCTTGTCCCAAGTTAGGGCGTTGTTTTTAGGATGTCGTCATAGATGCGAGGCACAACAAATCTTAACCCTCCTCCTCTGTTAAGAGAAGGTTTTTGTTTCCTCACAAAAATGGCTTCTTTCACCCCTCTCTCAAACCAATTCTTCTCCCGAGCCAGAATTTTAACCTCTGTGTGATCCACCGTGTGGTTGGAGGCCTTGAGGTGGAGATGAACAGCCGACTGTGGCCCACTAGAGTTTTCTCTACGATGTTACTCTCTCTCTAGTGGGCCACAGTCGGCTGTTAGGGTCGTTAGCCTCAGCAGGGTCGTTAGACCTGCTCCCTTCTACATCAAACAGACCTTAGATTGTTTATCAGGATTAGGGTGTGGCTAACTACACCCATAGGTTATAAATCTCCAACGCGCGGTCTGAGAATTCATTCCCTGAAGAAGTCCTTTGGATTGAGGACGAAACGTCGGGAAAACCTGCTAAGAAGTACAGATGATGGGTGAGAAACCTTCCTTTGCTTTGACGAATCCCTGTACGACTGAGAGCGTACACAAACAACTGAGCATGAGCAGCTACGAGCATGAGCGCAGATGATTGACAGCCCTTGGCATCACTTGATTGGTTAAAGTGGACGACATCGTGGACTTTGAGCTATTGACCAGATGCATCAACGTCATCCAGTCACGTGATTGTGAATGAGCTTACGGCGGAAGTATTGGAAACTAGCATTGATGCGAGAGCAAAACGGACGACAACTCTTAAGAACGGAGCTTCCTCTCCTAAATCGAGAAGTGGCTGCTTCAAGCACATGTTCGATTACGTTATAGGTGGAAGTAGGACATCAGGTCAGGGCTCACAAAGAGTGGTATTTGGAGAAGTTAAGGATCGCCTAACTGGATGTTGACCCGTACCTTCTCCCCCCAGTCAATTTAATTGAGTAAATAAAATGTCTATTTTTGCCCGAGTTCACCCTACATCAGGGGTGGCCAACCAGTCAGAGACTAAGAGCCAATTTTTTTACTGTGTTAGAGCAAAGAGCCACATCATACAAATGTGCACTACATAAACATCACCCCAACGTACGCACACGAGCAGACACGCGCACACACATGCAACCTGTCTGAGCAGAGAGAGGTGTGCTCTGCTCAGATAGATTTATTGTAAATGTCATCAACATGATAATGACAGAAATTGACTCGTACAGTACTAAAGGGCTGGACTCGACTCTCCCTGGTTTACGGGCGCTTCCACCGCTCGCTTCAGCCGCTCCCCGGTACTTTTTATGAATGGTTTGGCCCTGGTTCTAACCGGGCGAGTCGATACCAGAACAATCTCACGTCAGCGAACATCAATTATGATTCCGAAATGAATGCTTTCAATCTCTAACCAAGAAAAAAAATCGAGTTTCAACCCAGTGTTCAGCAGAAACACAACTGTCTTTATCGAACCATGATTCACTCTGACTGCGTTTAGTAAAAGATATAGATTTGACACATAACACCAACACCACTTTAGCTGATTTAGAACCACAGACACATGTTCAGTATAAGACCAGATACTTTTGCATTTGATTGAAGACAGACACTCACCAGGCAGAGTTGGCTAATCTCCTGGTGTAACGCTAGCTGGTGTTAGCTGGTTTTAGCATGTTAGCCGGTGTTAGCCGTTGTTAGCCGATGTCCGTAAATTTAATCCATTTGGTCACACCACCTCCAGACTTTTCGGGTCTGCCTCTACTTCTGCTGCAGCAATCTTTCATTTCACGGTTGTCACTTTTAAACTTTTCTCTGCATTGTGATGTTCGTGGGAATCATTCTGCTCCGTCCTTAGCGCTACTTTAGCTCCACAAACACCTTCTGGTTTCTGGTCGAACCATCGAGCTCACGCTGGTGTCCTCTCCTCAAACTGAGGAAGGTGTTTCCCTCATCCAGCGACCAAGGAACTGTTTTCCGTACGGACGTCATGGGTTGAGCCAACGTGTTGTTTGTTATGATATTTGCAACAGCTGAGGCAGCAGCTGCAGAGTGATTGACAGCGCATCTGACCAATCAGAATTGACTAACTGGCTAGTGGAGTGAAGTCAGCTTTTACTATGGGTCAGAACTACATAGAGAATGAATGGCAGCGCCACCACCGAGGCGTTTTTGATGCTTGTCGTGTGAAAGCCCGAGAGCCGCACGGAACCAGCCAAAGAGCCGCATGCGGCTCACGAGCCGCGGGTTGGCCACCCCTGCCCTACATGATCTTTATCATTATTGTTAACAATGCATCCCCTCACACTGGAGCAGATTTATATGTACATTTTGCTGGTAGTGGCGTTTCTGTCTACAGCCAAACATGATACGTACTGACGGAGAGGAAAATAGTGAAACACGCAATTGATTGATTGATTGTTATTTATTTGAGCATTTTACAAACATATTTTTCATTGTTACAAGGTTACACTGTTATAAAGTGGCTCAAAAGGAGTAGGCTGAAGCAAGAAAGCTTATTTCTTGCTTCTTAAAAGATAAAAATGTCAATGTTGCAGTGCACATACAGGACAGTAGTAAGAGACACGTTTGACGTGTGTCATTGTCCTCCACATTAATGGAAATAAAATAAATACAAACTTGTGATTGCTTTATCTTGTAAAAAGTGTTCGCTGCATATTATGGAGTACTTGGACGGGTCCCAGTCCTTTTGGTTGATTGCCGCCATCGTCGTCTTCTGTCTTCATGACGAGCAGGTATCAGATAAAAAAGCTTATGTCCTTGCCTGTTAGTATAATCAACCGCACTGCAAAATGTCAGTTTTGGCTGTAATGCGCTGAAACAGGTTGTTTTGGTCAGGTGTCTGTAGGCTCCAGTTAGACTTCTGCCGTCTGTCATGGAGAGTGGGCGTGGCCGTGACGTCACATGCAAGGGGCCAATAGCTAAGAGAAGGGAAGGCGGGACTTGCCCGTAATATTAGAATTAATAAAATGACTTATTTTATATCAACATTTAAGCCCAGGAGGTCAATTTCATACAATTTTTAAAATTTGTAATTCATTTAGAGTTCCAGACTATCATTTTAAGATACATTTTGGCAAATTTGAGCCTTTTGAGCCGTTTTTGCAGTATTGCCATTTACATTTATTGACAAGTTGCTATACGTTTACCCAAATGACTTAAAAGCTAAAATAATACATAATTTTGCAAAACATCTCCTTTGTCATTGGTTGTGAGAAAACAAGATAATACAGAAGCCAAAACCAGCCTACGGCAAAGAAGACATTTTTAAAAGAAATGTTGAAAAAGCAACTGATTTTTCCAGATATTTTTTTGTGATCAGATTCACCAAGTTCCAGACATTACAGAGAAATGACCTCTAAACTAAGACTAGGATCTGGATTTTGACAGTTACCATAGTTACCGGGATTTCTTTTTCCAGCTGCCCTCCACCACAATGTTGTGATGTCGCATAAACACAACCTATTGAAGAGTCAACTTATGCTCAAAGGTACTCGACAGACTACTTTTCCTAAGTAGATTGTTTGGTCATTTTTTGGTTCACAAAGAAGTTGGTTTTTAGATTTATTTTGTACTTTTACTTCCTGTCCTGTGCTCCTGTTGAACCGGGAGGACCAGACGATGCCAAAATATGGGAGAGTTCTGCTAATCTTTCTGTCCTCATTTATGTCTCATGCGCTACTGAGCACAAGCCATTCATTTGAATAGGACGCCATCTTGGATCACCAGGGCTTGGGTGTCACAGATACAGCACATACATACTGTAGGCTAAAACTACCATCATTTTCACTGCTCCCATTCAAACCAATGGAATTATGAGAAATTGCCCCAAAAATCTTGTTTCCTTCCCCGGGCTGCACCCCCTCCCCGCCTGGGAGTTGCTTCAGTCCTTGTTCTGTAGCTTGAGTCCTGGATCTATTGCCCGTCCGTCCGTGTGGAACGGATCCCTCTCTCGGTGTGGAACTCCCCGAGGTTTCTCACTTTTTACCTACTGGGTTTTAGAGTTTTTCCTCTGATGCAGGAAGGTCTGTTAGACTGTTAGAGGGTTTAACAAAAAGGACTGTGGTGATGATCCAGGGCACTCAAATTCTACAATATTCATGGACACTGGTCTATCCACATGGACCAACAATGTGTGTTCTATATTTTTGTGTCTTAACTGTTGATTTTCTGATCTGTGTTGACTAATTCAACAGTCTTGTTAAGTCCTCTGAGATGACTACTGTTGTGATTCAGGGCTATACAAGAATAATTTAAAATGAATTGATGCTTGGAACTGAAATCCTTTTTAGGGCATCTCACTTGGTTTTAGGCTCTTGTACCATCAAACTGCATCTCAACCATTTGGTAAAGGCCTAAAACAAAAACAAAACATCTGGGGCAGTGTTCTACTGTGTTCTATGAGTGTCCAACATCTCATATCCAAAAAAGAAAAAAATATTATTCTTCAAGGAGTGAACATTAAAGGGTTAACTGGCCTTAGACCCTGCAGCATCAGAAAGGAACAACTCAGAAATACAAATAAATCAGTTTGAAAGAGGGATCCGCTCCACAGACGGCTGTAGATCCTGGAGTTTTCCTGATGCACATACTTTCATCTGTGATCAGTTCTTGGTCAAGCTGTGAGTTTGGGCAGACAGATGGGTCTTGGTTTCCGTTTGTTCTGCTTGGTTGAGACCATCCTTTCGGCTCTGGTCTGGGTCAACTAGAAAAAAAAGCAAGAAAAAGAACAAGAAAACACAAAACCGCAACTGTTTCAGAAATACTCAGGACTCACCGTTGTTTCCAGAGCATTCAATGATAAATGGATAAAATAATGATATCATTGGCTCTATATCAAGGACAGACCTGTTTTATTCAAGACCCAAGTGTGAGGAAATGTACCTTGTTTGTTTAGTGTCAACACTGTTAAAGAGGGGTGTCCTGGGATTTTAGGGCAGAGACCGATCGTGCACAGAGCATGTATCCTCCACCCGTGTGTCACATTAGACTGAGACAGGTGCTGTTTAAATTCATGAGGCTGGGCTGGAGCCAATGAGAGGAGAGGCCGCGGACAGGCATGCTGCTATTGGCTCGACCTCCTCCCATTGCTATGCACGCTCTGCCCGGCAACCATCCCCTTGAGCGTCCGGTGTGAGCATCATCCCCCTGTGCGGCGAGCGTCTGGAGGAGGACTGGGTCTGGGAAGCTCACATAACAAAGCTTTTGTCTGTGCTCTAGAAGTTCTGCCTTGTACCTACACACACATTTTTCAGGCAGCTTTGAGTCGTTTGTAGTCACTCACACTGAGACTACTTTGCTCGCTGGAAGACGCACACAATAAGTGGACTAAGGCTACAGATCCAGGACTGAGGGTGTAAATCCAGGTCTAAGGCTGTAGACCCAGGACTGAGGCTGTAGACCCAGGACTGAGGCTGTAGATCCAGGACTGAGGCTATAGACCCAGGACTGAGGCTGTAGATCCAGGACTGAGGCTTTAGATCCCAGACTGAGACTGTAGATCCAGGACTGAGGCTGTAGATCCAGGACTGAGGCTGTAGACCCAGGACTGTGACTGAGAATAAAACTAAAATTACAAACTATAACCAAGATGATAAAATCCACACCATGACATTGTTGGTGCTGTTGGTCTGCGTGTTCACACTGAGCCCAGACCGAGGAGGAGGTCACCGCTGACACTGTTACGTCAGAGACACAGCTGTAAACAAGTGCTGTATTGTTCATTACAGCTGCATGCTTAAAGGAGCAATATGTGCAAAACTGCACTCTCCCTGACTGAGGTTGCCAGATATGCAGAGAAATCCAGCTGGAACCAAAATATCAGAGTCAACAGCAAATCTATAACCAACACCTTTTTCACAAAGATATAAATCCTTGTTTTATTCCTTGTTGTGTTAATGATTTGAGAATCTGCAGCCACATGGTACTTTACCAGTGAGATAATCTAGACGCGGTATGTTCTGGCAACCCAGATCACAGACTTTCTGGTTGGTTAAATGGTGGAGGGCAGGACATTGAACTGAAAACAACAACAAGATTTAGGAGCTGTTTAAATAATTTTTTAATTCAAATATCCCTGAACTATTGTTATCAGTTAAAGAAGTATTGGAAAAGTTATTTTATTAATGCTTTTTGACAGATAAGGGCTCTTTAATGATGAATTGACTTGACATTCTTACACAATGGTACTTTAACTAAAAGATCAGTGTGGTGTCTATTTTTCATTTACAAACAAAAACACACACACAGACACACAACATGGGCAGCACGGTGGGGCAATGGTTCGTGCTTGTGCCTCACAGAAAAAAGGTCCTGGGTTCAATTCCACCTTCAGACCTTTCTGTGTGGAGTTTGTATGTTATCACCGTGTCTGTGTAGGTTTCCTCCAGGTGCTCCGGTTTACTCTATCACTGAAAACATGTACAGTAGGTCCAGAATGTTCCTCCTGTAGACGATTCAGCTCCATCTGTGTGGAGTGAGAGACCATTGCCCACAACAATTGTAAAGTGCTCTTTGACTCTGGTCTGTGAAAGGCGCTGCACAAATTACTTACTTAATTCTTTACACACACGCGCACGCACGCACACACACACACGCGCACGCACACACACACACACTGGCCTGACGCTCTCCATGTGCTGCAGGAGTCGACCCGTCTCTGCACGTGGACTCCAGGGCCCAGGGGTCAGCACACATCCTGTCCACCAAACACAAGAGCCGCGCCCCCACCGCCCGGGATGAGCGCTTCAGGTCAGGTAAGAGCTCGACACTCCCTGAACACAGACTAAAAAACATGAAAAGACAAAGTTATGAATCACATGTTGAAGCTCCGATTGCATGACGACAATATTGTTTTTTATAGTGTGATGACGTTCGTTTTATGGTGTTTCTGTTCTCCCCTGGTCAGACCTGCACACTGAAGCCGTCCACGCAGCTCTGGCCAAGTACAAAGAGAGGAAGATGCCCATGCCCTCCAAGAGACGCTCTGTCCTGGTGCAGTCGTCTGTGGAGGCCTGCACCCCGACAGGTGAGCTCCCCCCCGTACACCCCCCCCCCCCTACCCACACAGGTGAGACGCTCAGCCACTGTAGACAAGACAGGACATTTTAGGGTTTTGAGATCAAGCCACTATGGCATGTTAAACCTCATTTCAATGCTGCTTTTCTCAGGAACCACATCACAAACTACATCTTTTTACTCTGAACAATGAACCTAAAACACAATTCGTGATACGACATAAAACAACATCAGTCTACAGTTCTCAGCCAGCATTACTTTGGTCCAGGTCTAGTTTAACCCTTGCTCTGCCGCATCCTCGCGCCGCTGTGGCATTATGGAAGTCCGTTCATAAAATAAAATCTGTGTGACTTCTGTAAAACCTCACACAATGCAAAAAAAATATTATATTTTTACACATTTTTGGTAAAATGTCGATCATTGTAAATATTGATGCTTTAGGTGCAATGCTAAATGCTTCAAATCCAGGTTTAAACTGATCTGTTTATTTGTGCTTCTCTCTTTTAAATGTAATCTTGTTTTGTTGCACTTTGAGTTGTCTTCTGTATTATACAATTAAACTTGCTTTGCTTTGTGGTGTGTGTGTGTGTGTGTGTGTGTGTGTTGTGTTGTGTTGTGGTGGGTCGTGTGTGTGCGTGTGTTTGTGTTGTGTTGTGTTGTGGTGGGTCGTGTGTGTGTGTGTGTATTATGACGCACACTCTGGTGAGCAGGCTCTTTGTGTGATAATAAACCATTGTTGTGTGACACGTGCTTCATAATCAGATTGAACAAAGTCTGCAGCTCGACCTTTACACAAAGTTACATTATTTAACATGAAATGATTCAAATAAAATCTCTAACTTTAACTCATTGAAAAAAACAAAACAAATATATCACCATACACTCTATTCCCGGGAATATATACTTCGGGGCAACAGTGGCTCAGTTGGTAGAGCATTGGACCTCTCTGGACCTTATGGTTGTGGGTTCAATCCCACCACTATCCATGGCACATGCTCCCACTGATGTCTACTGTTGTTGTGTCCTTGGGCAAGACACTTAACCCCACTTTGCCTGAAGTCCCTGCTGAGAGATCAAGGCTGTATCTGCGTTGAAGGAGCAGCCATCCACCTGTGGACTCACCACCGGCAGAAGGGTCAGTGAGGGGCTGGTGCTTTGTGAATTGGGGGGCAGCTCTGACTGCCATCCCCCTGACCCAGAAATGGATAATAAAAGGATGAAAATTAATGAATGAAAATGAATGCATATATACTTATGTATAAATCTGTAGATGAGTCTGTAATTCACTGCAAGAATATTAGATATTAAGGGACCAGACTGTAATACCGTTTTCGAGAGGGAAAAAAGGCACCGTAAGAAATCATTGGATAATTCTGTTTCCGGGTACAACACCACCGGCAAGAAGTCAGATTACAGCATGTCAGGGCACATTCACATTGACCTTTTTGAGCCGGGACCCGCCACCACTGGGTCCACCACATATGTTGATTCTCTGATTTGTGTTGTCGACAGCTTTGTAAAGTCCTCCAAGATAACTACTGTTGTGATTTAGGGCTATACAGGAATAAATTGAATGTGCACACTGTGAAGTTCCATGGTTCTTTCTCTTCCTCTGTCTTACTCATGGCTCTCCCTCTCCCCAGACACCTCCTCTGCCTCAGAAGACGAGGGCTCTCTGCGCCGCTATGGCCGCCTCATGTCCACGCCATACCAGCCGCAGCCCCAGGGCACGGTGGAGCACTGGTTTAACCGCGTGATCCAGGGCTCGTCCACGTCCTCCTCGGCCTCCTCCACCTGCTCTCACCCCGGAGGCAGCAACAGCGCCCCCCACAGCGTGCTGTCCGCCAACGCCACCGCCCAGGCCCTCGCTCAGCTCATGGCACACACACACATAGGTCAGTCACATGTGCAGGGATGAGACAGATCACTGGTCTCTCTCTGGTCTCTCTTTCTAATCTCTCTCCGGTCTCTCTCTGGTCTGTCTCTGGTCTCTCTTTCTAATCTCTCTCCGGTCTCTCTCTGGTCTGTCTCTGGTCTCTCTTTCTAATCTCTCTCCGGTCTCTCTCTGGTCTGTCTCTGGTCTCTTTCTAGTCTCACTCTGGTCTCTTTCTAGTCTCACTCTGATCTCTCTCTGGTTTTTCTCTCTCTGGTGTCCCTCTCTAGTCTCTCTCTGGTCTCCTTCTATGGTTTCTCTCTGGTCTCTCTCTCTGGTCTCTCTCTGGTTTCTCTCTGGTCTCTCTCACTTTCTGTTCTCTCTATGGTGTCTTTCCCTGGTCCCTCCGGTCTCTCTCGGGTCTCCTTCTATGGTTTCTCTCTGGTCTCTCTCCCTAGTCACTCTCTCTCTGGTCTCTCTCTGTTCTCTCTCTCTGAAGGTTTTAGAGAGAGACCCTGGAAGTGACTGCTCTCGCTCTCTCTTTGTGTCTCTGAGTTTTGCTAAAGAAAGTAGTTTTGCCTCCGCTCACATACAACTGGCTCCAATGCACATAGTCAATTCAACTTATTTTTATATAGCCCTAAATCACAGCAGCAGTTATCTCGGAGGACTTGTTGATTCGCCAACACAGATCAGAGAATCAAACCGTTCAAACACAGTAAATACAATGATAAAAAACACATAGAGCCATAAGGGAGAGACGATCAATGTAAATAAATGTCCTTAAACGTCCTGGATCACCACCGCTAACCGATGTCTCCCCTCAGAGCCCCCCTCGGCCCCCCCTGATGTGACGGGCCTGTCCGAACGCCCCGCCCACCACAGTGACCGCGCCCAGGTGTCGTCTGTGCGAGGCGTCTCTCGGGGAAACCAGCACGTAATGGACACGGCGGACGGTGAGACAAATATCTAGCGGCCGAAATAGTATCTCAACGCTACGCAACTAATATGAAGTTAAAGTGTAGTCATAGTTTAATGTGTGTACTGGACGCCAAAGGGATCGGACAAAACACGCTCTCACACAGACACAGACCCAACACCCTCTCTGACCCTACACCTCTCCTCCATCACATGCTTTGTGCTGAGGGTATCCAGACTTCCGCATCTCTGTGAGCACCTCCATATCCGCCCTTCCTCCTCCCTCCAGCTCCTGGTGCCTCATCCCTCCGCTCTTCTTCCTCCTTTTGTCACATCAAAGACCCTGCATGCTTTCCTCAGTCTGCTGGTCAAGTTGGCGATCAGCATAATTTTTTCCTTCAGGGATTCAGAGGAGCCAGGGAAATGTGAGTTTGCAATGACAAGGAAAACAAGAACAAGGACAAAAGCTGAGAAAGGATTCACAAATTCCATATAGGTGAACTTCCTTTAAAATCATTGAGCCCAAACATATATATTTTTTTTTGTGTCCCCTAATATAACCCTAAGCCCACAATGTTTATAACAATCTAATTGGATCCTGGCCGGTTTCCAGACGAGGAACATGACGTCCGCTCGCTCTGGAACGGTGCCAGACTGACCACGTTGTTGCTATGGTAACAGAGCTTCTATTTTCCGCAGCAGTCGCTATGTGATGGCCTCAGTGACACATCGGCAAAGCAGCGGTTTCAAATATTAAATCCCTCCCAGACTGTGATCAAAGTGCCTTGCTCAAGAATCTCTCTTGTTTCGACAGCTCTGGGCACCACAACAGTCTGTCGTCACTTGCAGTTCCCCATCTCAGGTCATTACGTATGATGCTACTCAAGCTGATTCTGATGAAGCAGAAGCTGTTGATGTGGTTATTAGAATTTAAAGGAGCAGTACGTAAAAATGTGGCCAAAAGTGGTACTGCAACCTTTCCCACTCCCTGACTCAGGTTGCCAGATATGCAGACGAATCCAGAGGAACCATAACAACTGAATAGACAAGAGTTTTGTCAACAACAAATCTAAAACCAACCCCAACACCAATCCTTGTTTTGTCGTTAATTTGAGAATCATAACGAGATCTTTTTTAGTTCTGCGCCACTTGTTACTTTACCTGTGAGATTAGCTCGACACGGGGAGTTCTGGCAACCCGGATCACAGACTTTCTGATTGGTAAAACAGTGGAGGACATCAAAATGAAGATTTAGGGGCTGAAAAACTAATTTTGAAATTATATTATCTCGGCTAAACTACTGTTTTCAGTTAAAGAAGTGTTGGAAAAGAGCATGTTTTATTTATGCCTTTTGACAGATTCGGGCCCTTAATGGTGACCTGTCTATGGCGTTACCCCGACATGTCTGACCTGATTGGAAGGTTTAGGTTTTGTCTGTGTTTACAAAACCCCAGCTTTAATCTCTGAATGTGTTCAACAGTTTTGAAGTAGAGGACACTGTTGAATCTAAGAAAATGTGTTGCTCAAAGGGGAAAAATCAGCTGATCGCTAACTTGATGTCACCATGTTTAACAGGCATGTAATATTCATGGTTTTAAATCTGTATCACTCTGAATAATGTCCGCCAGATGTGATAATGATCCACAGGGGAGCGTCTCGCTGAAGGAGAAGGTTATTCTTTTTTAAACAAGAGTTTCTCGACTGATAATGATCAGAACCAAGTTTACAGTTTCTAGATTGAATGAAAACCCAAACACTTTATTCTCGCTCATTCTTAGTGTAAATCCATTCATTGTCAATTAAAACCAAAACAAGTTCATAGAGTGACAACACAACAGTCTGTACATTAAAACACTGAAACACACACAATTTAAAAACAAAATCAATAGTTTTTTATTTCTAAATTAAAGTAACAACAGAAACTCCTCTTCTGGCCCTGATCAGAAGTCTCCATCCCCCAGTTCTCTATTGTGTATGTTGTCCTTGGAGTCTTCTGTGCTTGTTGTGAAGAGCATGTGTTTGTGTTAACATTTACAATCTCCAAATGTGTACAAAGTATCAGCATCATCCTCACTGCTAACCTCTCACTGCTGCTTGTTGCTTGTGTCTCGTTGTGGCTGCCCCGCCTGGGCCTGGGCCTGGGCCGGGGTCTGGGCCTTGTCCTGGTCCTCTGCTTGTGCTTGTGCCTGTGCCTGTCTGACCCCCCATGCCCCCTCTCATGTGTAGGTGTCCCGGCCCACAGTCGTGTCTCCTCCAAAATCCAGCAGCTCCTGAACACGCTCAGGAGACCCAAGCGGCCTCCGTTACCAGACTTCTTTGTGGATGACTTTGAGGACCTCATGGAGGGTAAGACCAGAGCGGCGGGACCAGAGCACCTATGGAATATATATATTATATATATATATATATATATATATATATATATATATATATATATATATATATATATTACTTATATGTTATATGTTATAGGATGACCTAATTGTATATATTGCCATGTCATTCTCATGTTCATACCAGTCACAGTCCAGAACCAGCAGATCTCTGTCCTCCACATACATGATCCTCGGGACTCAAAATGACCTGAAAACAGTTTTTATTTCAAATGTAGAATTTGTGATTAGGATTCTGTGCTTTGTTTTGACTTGTTACGAGCAGAAAATGTCATTTATCACAGGTTTTTACTCTGTACACCTGTGTTCAGACACCTGTGTTCAGCACAGCTGTGATTGGTCCATAGTGTCTGGTGTCATGCAGTTTGTTGTAACAAACCCGGACCCTTTATCTATGTATTAAACCAATGGAGCTGGTTCCTTCATATGTGTCCAACTCTAATGTGACATATCTTTGAAATATTGAATTAGTCTTTAACATGTTGCACAAACATGTGTTTGAACTCTGACTCTTCTGGATGTCATGTCATCTTGAGATGCTAATGGGCCAATCAGAATTGTTGATATATTTTTCTCAGCTGAATTCTGTAACTGAAGTCTGTAACTAAAGGTGCAGTGTCCCTTCAGTCCAGCAGGTGGACCCAGAGCAGCCCAGGCCAGAAGGACAGCAGAGCAGCCTGGTGGAGGGGGAGGCTCTGGGTACAGGTCAGGGTGGGGCCCCCTCGCTGACCTCGGCCCTCCAGAAGTGGGGAACCACACAGTCCAAAGCCCCCTGCGTGACAGCCTTGGACACCGCGGGCAAGACGGTCTACACGCTCACGTACGGTAAGAGAACGGACCCTGGCACCAGAGGGGTCACAGGGCTCTGTGATTGTTTGGGCCAATTTTTGGAGACCTGTGAACAAATGCAACAGATCTCAGACACTTTCTGCACTTGTCAGAAAGTAGAGGTTGTATTTGGTCAGAATATGGATGTCCCGACATTTATGGACCCGATTGTAATAACCCTTTTGTTATTTATTTAATATCAAAATTGAGAAAATATTGACTTCATATGAAAAAACTCACTGCCAGTGCTGTAGCTCAGAAAATCAAAAATCAAATAATTTAAGCCATTGCGAGGGTTTGTTTGTTTTTCAGAAGGGAAAATGGTCCCCAAAAGGCTGGCAGGTGTGTTGGGGTGTGTAACATGTGCTGGTTTTGCAGGTAAACTGTGGACACGCAGTCAGAAGCTGGCGTACACACTCATGAACAAGCTGAGCTGCAGGAACGAGCCGCTGCTGATGCCTGGAGACCGGGTAACTACATTCAATTCATTGCTCATCTCTGAGGACCTACAAACCCTTAAAACATTGTTGTTTAATCAACAACAGATTCAGAATACAGGAACTGTGGAGGTCAAACAAGGCTCACGCAAAAGATAGACCCTTCTGAGGGCATGACTTTACATTAAAGATAGAACCATGACTCGTGACCACATGGAGCAGTCAGTGAATGATTCTGTTCTGCTCTCTCTTATACCATGCTTCTTGTTGTAATGGAGCATAGTTCTGCGATACATGGCTGTAGCTCTAGAGGTTACAGTAGTAGTTTACCACGACTGTGTGTGGAGGAAATGTGACGTAAAAAGCACTTTGGAAAAATACCTATTATCATGATCATCAGGATCACTGCAGTACAACGGACGAGAAGTTGCATATTCCCATTCTTGCACTTCAAACTTCTAGGAGTCTAAAAAACTGTTCTAAAAAATATGTGAGAACTTTTTGGAGTACAAAGAAATGGCTTCAGTCTTTGTGAAGCTTTGGCCTTGGAAGAATAATCTACTCTACAATACTCTACTCCCTCAGTCTTCACTTTCATACACTCAGCTACAGCTGGTCTCCGGGGCTTGGCTCTAATGGATTGTAGATAAACTTAGACCCGAGTAACGACATTAAAGCTTAAGAATCTATGTCTTTAAAGTCTTCCTGATCCAGATGGTGAAAAAATGGTCTTTGGGCCACGGCACATGTTTCTTGAAAACCCTGACAGTTTTGTCGTCCTCGCTCTGACAGAAGTGTCTGTGCTGCCTGCAGGTGGCGCTGGTGTTTCCCAACAGTGACCCGGTCATGTTCATGGTGGCCTTCTACGGCTGCCTCCTCGCCGAGCTCATCCCCGTGCCCATCGAAGTGCCCCTCACCAAGAAGGTAAAATACTGTCTCTTGTCTCTGTCTCATGTCTCTGTCCCACGTCTTTGTCTCTGTCTCTGTCTTTGTCCCATGTCTCTGTCTTTATCCCATGTCTCTGTCTCTGTCGATGTCTCTGTCTCTGTCCCATGTCTCTGTCTCTGTCTCTGTCTCTGTCCCATGTCTCTGTCTCTGTCTCTGTCCCATGTCTCTGTCTCTGTCCCATGTCTCTGTCTCTGTCCCATGTCACCGTCTTGAACCGTTCCAAAGCCGCTGACAGCAGGTCCTCTCAGGGAAGGATACAAACCAAATATGCAAAGTCATGCAAATACCTTTCTGTTTGTTTTTGAACCTGATTTTGTCTTAATAATGTACAAGGTTCTATTCTGAAAAACAACAGCTTTTTTAAATAATGAATACTGCTCTGGGGCCAATGGTCTGCCATCTAGTGATATAAACTGGTAACACATGAGATATGACATTTATCATGCATGTACCTGTGTCAGGGCCACCCTCACTCAACCAGCTCTCCTGCACCAAAAGGTCAAACAGTGACTCACATGGCTCTTTCTCAACACAAAAGATTCATATTTTTTAAATAAAGATCAAGACAGTATTTGAGTTGTGTTTTGACAACAGTCTTTCCAGGTATTCCAGCTGTGAAATCCTTTATATAAGTACAATTCAAATTATCCCTAAATATACCCAAATCCCTCTGATCCATTAAGTCTCTGAAGTCCTCCACAGGAAACCTCTTGGAAGGAAAAGGCTGAGGCGGCAGGTTCTGATATTCCTCCTGGAGAAACAAGGCGAGGCCAGGGACTAGTGATAAATACAAGGACCTGCTCCAGCTTGCTGTCATTTACTCCTATAAATAATATAATAATATAAAATATACACCAAAGTCTGAGGATCAGTGATTATTTTCTATAGTCTGCCTCTGGAGGGTGGCCATTGATTTTTTTTTAGCATATGTTACTATGACAAAAACACACAAATCATGTAAAGGTGGATCTCTTGCATCACATACATATTACGCACGCACCTACGATTATACACATGTTTGTTGCCTCAACTCACATTTGCAGGTGTCAAAGTGGTTTTGGCTCCTTTAGCTCCTAATAAGTGTTGGATTAAAGTAGCTAAAGCAGCGAGGAGAGGGCGTTAGGAGACTAGTGTTGTGTTTCAGCCTCACAGCGCCCCCTCAGGCCGGTCACGTACATTACATTGCTCTCAGGTGGATCAGTCTTCAGCTTTGTGTGGACGGATACATTTACAGAGCCGGTTCTGTCTGCTTTAAAATTATGAGCGTCATTAATATACCAGGGCACAGGACGGATTCTCAGCAAAGAATACAATGCAGTGATTTGTGAACATTATCCTAATAGAAATGGTCCTCTTGGTTGCTCATTGACTAGATAGATAGATAATTTATTGATCCCGGTAGGAGAAATTCACGTGTCCAGTAGCAACAGAAACACATCCATCCACACACAAAAAAACATATAAATAGATTATTCTAAAAGTAGCTAACAATAGTATTAAAATGCAACATTACTTCAGGTCACAGCAGCAGAGATGGAGCCGCTTGGTTTGGGCCATTTTCTCTGCTCTGGTCCAAAGTAAAATGCTGAATGCTTTGTCAGCATTTTTCAAAAAGTCAGCGTTCCTTCAGTGGATTTTCACCTGATCCACTTGGTTGGGACCATGAATCCTCTCTTCTCTTCAGTGCAAAACCATGAACACTGTACTGCAGCAACATCTCGATTAGAAAAAAAACAAAGAAAAATAACAATTGTAAAACATCAACAGTTTCAGAGCTACTTAGGACTCGCTGCCGTTTCCAGCGCGTTCAAAAGACTATTACTGAATTTCCCCACTGTGAGATCAATGAAGTACATCTTATCATTGATGATTAAAAACATTATGAATTGAAAACTCTCTTTGCTATATAAAAGTTTTTCCCGAATGCACATGACAAAAGTTCCTATGTTAGGGGAGTACCTCCAGAAAATGAATAGGAAATAAAATATTGATGAGTAAAAGCTTAATAGCTAAAACAAGCCAGGACCCCTGCAACAAGGTACGAATCAGATCTGCGGGGAGGGGAGCCCAGTCCAACATATAAACTGTATATAAACCGTAGAGTTTAAGATTGAGCCTCAGAGATGGACAGAAACAGTGGGATTACAAATAGACTGTTTCCCCCCGGAACTTATTTACAAGATACAATACTAGTACTCACTGCTCGGCCAATGACGTGAGAGAATGTCGTTGGCGGGGAAAGGGGAAGAAAAGAGTAGAATCTTAATGACTTCCTTTGAGAGTTTGATAATGTTAAATTATATCTGAATACATGTGTGTTGTGTGCAGGACGCAGGCTCTCAGCAGATCGGCTTCTTATTGGGCAGTTGTGGAGTGAGTCTGGCCCTGACCACGGACGCCTGTCAGAAGGGTCTGCCCAAAGCCCCTACGGGAGAGGTGGCCCCGTTCAAAGGTACGGCACAGTTTGGCACAGTATGGCACAGTATGGCACAGTATGGCACAGTATCAAAATTCAAAGTTATCTTTATTGTCCCATGAGGGGAAATTGGTTTAGCAGCAAACAATCATCCAAAAAAAATACAAAGAACAAGAGACAAAGTCACAAAGCTAGTTTCAGGGCAAATATATGCAGTATGGCACAGTATGGTACAGTATGGCACAGAATGACACAGTATGGCACAGAATGACACAGTATGATACAGTATGACACAGTATGGCACAGAATGGCACAGTATGGTACAGTATGACACAGTATGGCACAGTATGGTACAGTATGACACAGTATGGCACAGTATGGCACAGTATGACACAGTATGATACAGTATGACACAGTATGGTACAGTATGACACAGTATGGCACAGTATGACACAGGGTGGCACAGTATGACACAGTATGGTACAGTATGACACAGGGTGGCACAGTATGACACAGTATGGTACAGTATGACACAGTATGGCACAGTATGACACAGTATGGCACAGTATGACACAGTATGACACAGTATGGCACAGTATGACACAGTATGGTACAGTATGACACAGTATGGCACAGTATGACACAGTATGGCACAGTATGACACAGTAAGGTACAGTATGACACAGTATGGTACAGTATGACACAATATGGCACAGTATGACACAGTATGACACAGTATGGCACAGTATGACACAGTATGACACAGTATGGCCCAGTATGGCACAGTATGACACAGTATGGTACAGTATGACACAGTATGGTACAGTATGACACAGTATGACACAGTATGGCACAGTATGGCACAGTATGACACAGTATGGCACAGTATAACACAGTAAGGTACAGTATGACACAGTATGGTACAATATGACACAGTATGGCACAGTATGACACAGTATGACACAGTATGGCACAGTATGGCACAGTATGGCACAGTATGGCCCAGTATGGCACAGTATGACACAGTATGGTACAGTATGACACAGTATGGTACAGTATGACACAGTATGACACAGTATGGCACAGTATGACACAGTAAGGTACAGTATGACACATTCGGTCGTCTTCAGGAAGCCCTCGGTTTTAAAACAGTTGGTGACCCCTGATTTAAACGCTCTGCCTCCCACTGTGCTTACGTCAGGGACCACAGCCTTAAAGAGAAAGCTCTGTATTTACAATAATATATATGAGGAAAAAAACATATACACTACCGTTCAAAAGTTTGGGGTCACACTTATTCACCACCATACGTTGTGAAATTAATAGAAAATAGAGTCAAGACTTTGACAAGTTTAGAAATAATGATTTGTATTTGAAATAAGATTTGTTTTAATCCAACTTTGCTTTTGTCAAAGAATCCTCCATTTGCAGCAATTACAACATTGCACCAAAAACCAGACATTTGCAGCTGGAATAGTCATTTACCACATAAGCAATGTATAGAGTGTATTTCTTTACACTTAAGACTAGTTTAAAGTTATCTACAGCTTTTCCTTCAAAAATAAGGACATTTCAATGTGACCCCAAACTTTTGAACGGTAGTGTATATTTACAGAATGAGAGCTTTGTGGAAGTGGAGGTGTGAGTCTGGAAGAGCAGTCTGGGTCACACTGTGCTTATTTCAGGCTGGCCGCGGCTGCTCTGGTTCATCACTGATGGCAAACATGTGGCGAAACCCCCCAAGGACTGGCAGCCGCCCTTGAGAGACGCCAACAACGACACCGCCTACATCGAGGTGAGCGGGGGAAATTCCACTGATGTGTTTTCAATGTTTAAAAGGAAAACAAGACTGAAAAGCGTAGTTGTAGTATCACTGTTTAATTGTATTACTTTTTAGTTTTATATATTTTGTGTTTCCTTCTCCCCTTGTATGCGAGGTAAATGTGCAAATGTTAATAATGCTTTGTTTGTGTCCAGTACAAAACCAGTAAAGAAGGCAGCACTATGGGGGTGAGCGTGTCGCAGGCGGCCATGTTGGCTCACTGTCAGGCGCTGACGCAGAGCTGCAGCTACACAGAAGGTCAGACACAGTCACTGTGAGAGAGCCAGAAGTCTGCTGTTAGCATGCTAGTGTCAATAACAGTGTCCCAAAGATACACGCTGGCTTAGTAGGTTGCCCTACTAAGGGTTCAATTCCACACTTTCTCCCTGTATCTGGGTGGCTTTTTGCCATTGATTGTTTCTACATATACAATATATATATTTCTGCTTGAGCTTCTTCATGGCTTCTTCATGACAAACTGTAATTTTAGATAATTATTAAGTTTCATAATGTTCTGATCATAAAACAGGTGTCACTGATTATCAGACAGAAGCATGTCTTTGAAAACACATTCAAGGCAGACTCCAGACTTCCTGCAGAGCTGACACAAAGACTTTCTCTACTGTTGCAGGCGAGACCATCACCAACGTGCTGGACTTTAAGAGAGAAGCTGGATTATGGCACGGAGTCCTCACGGTGAGTTGTGCGGCGGAAGCTTAGCTCATGCTAATCATGAGCTAATCAGGAGCTTACAGAGGGATCACAGGGCACGCACACAAACACCTCATTCTCAGACGCGTGGACGAGCTTTAGCCCAATTTGACACAATATGAATGATATCATTCCAAGTTTGAAACCATGTTGAAACCTTGTCCCCTCGTCGAAAACAGACCTGGAGTTGGTTTAACATCCATCTGCGCTGAACTCATCACACTGTGACAAAGACGTCACAGACAGAGCTGTTGCCTTTTACACAAAAGTGTTTCACGTTTTTAAAAAAACACATTAGATCCGATCAGAGTACCGTGTTCAGAAATCTTTTACAATCAATTAATATAAGACATATTACATCTGGATTGGAAACTTGGGTGAAACTGTTTGCACCATTTTATGCTTGTTATTGACGATAAGAAAAGGGTAAAACTGACCAATCAGTGTCTTTGGCAGCTGAACAGTTTGCTGTAATAGCCTGCTCACATGCTCACATGCACACGTGCACACATGCGAACATGTGAACATGCAAACATGCACACATGCCAAACATGCTCACATGTACATATGAACACATGCACTCATGTACACATGCAAACATGCACACATGGACACATGCACATGTGCACACATGGACACATGCACATATGCAGAGGTTACATTGTTGGTCCTGGTCACATGAGTGGTACGGTTTATTAATAAAAACACAACAGAATCTTTTATGTTCTTAATATGAGCTGCAATCCATGATCATCAACAGACTCCAATCAGAGAATCAGCCGTTTATTTAAAACTTTATTCACACAAAAAAGCTAGATGTTTAAATAATACCAGGTAAAAATATCATATGTAACAGAGTTTGTGGCGTATCTTGCTAACCCCAGCAGGTGGATTGCATCAGTAAACAGTGTGTTGTTGTGCGTCCTCAGAGTGTGTGGAAGCGGCTGCATGTGGTCAGTGTGCCCTACTCCCTCATGAAGGTCAACCCTCTGTCCTGGATCCAGAAGGTGCAGGCTTTCAAAGGTAACACACACAAATGCACGCACACACACACACACAGACGCTCACACGCACACAGACACAAACACATACACACATGCACATATGCGCACACACACACACACAAATGCACATACGCACATGCAAACACACGCAAACACACGCATACGCACACACGCACGAACAGCGTCAGTGTAAAAAGGATTTGACTTTGATGCAGCCTAAGCTTAAAATGTGACATCATATTGTGCCTGTGCTGACGCCACAATCCCAGTCAAATCTTTTCATGTCTCCCCTCTCTCTCCTCCTCTCCTCCTCTCCCCTCTCCTCTCTCCTTTCTCCTCTGTCCTCTCTCCTCTCCCCTCTCTCCTGTCCTCTCCAGCCGGGGTGGTGGTGCTGAAGTCCCGGGACATGCACTGGTCCCTGCTGGCCCAGAGGGACCAGAGAGACCTGAGTCTGAGCTGCCTGCGGATGCTGATCGTGGCCGACGGAGCCAACCCCTGTGAGTCAGCGCTGATACTTTTGTCCTTTTTTTAGTTTAGGATTCAAACCAGCAAAATATTCTTTTTTACATAAACAAATCTGACGTCCTCTGGCTGGACCAATGGAGAGCTCAGGACAAGCCAGTGAGCTACTTTTGGCAGTTGAAAGAAAGTCAAAATAATGATGGACTATACTGCCAAAAAAAACAAGGGGTCGCTTTGAGTGTCTTAAAACCAGCTTCCTGTTTCATGCTGCCCTGGCCTCGTCTGACCGGGTGAGCAGGGAAGATTGCTGGGGCTTGGCAGAGGAAGCAGACGAGCTGTGAGCTGCCTCACTGTCCAGACAGCTCACATTGTGCACCCCTTTATGGTGCACTTAGGGGGAACTGGGACATGGACTGGGTTTACTGGTCGGGAGGAGACAGTGAGGAGCTGGTGTTGGTGTAAAAGCGACTTTTGTACTTTAGGATGAGGACAGTTGGCTCTCCCTGTCCGAGTTTAGTATCTTGTAAAAGCACTAATGCAACAACTTGATTAAATGATTCATATATTAGATTTTTTGGCAGTTGTCAATAATAATGACAGTTGTCAATAATATCAGCCGCAGCAGAGGTCATCGATCACCTGAGCGCAGCCGAGTGCAGGCTTTAGGGCAGACATGACCTGCGTCTCAGCGAATAAAGGGTTAGGGGTGCAGCCTCATAACCACCAGCAGACTCATGCTCATGAAGTCAGGTCCACCCGTTTTAGTCCTGCTGTAGTCCTGGTTCACACAGCTAGAGGCTCTATGGATGTATGATGATGATGTGTCAGGCCTAACGACACAACCACAGCTTGACGGTTCACAGCGGCCCCACTGTGGACTGCAGTACTCTGTTCTGACTCCTGTTCTCTGTCCTCAGGGTCCATCTCATCGTGTGACGCCTTCGTGAACGTGTTCCAGAACCGCGGCCTGAGGCCTGAGGTCATCTGCCCCTGTGCCTGCTCCTCTGAGGCCCTGACAGTCGCCATCCGCAGGTCACTGCACACTCTCCCAGGACAGTTCACTGATGACATCACACTCAGAGAAACTGCAGCATGTTGACTTCAATTCATCTCAATTTATTATTGTATAACAAGGAGGCTATGGAAAGGAAATGCACTGATAACAAGCATATAGGAGCCATTGGACTGAGACTGTAGATCCAGGACTGAAGCTGTGGATCCAGGACTGAAGCTGTAGATCCAGGACTGAAGCTGTAGACCCAGGACTGAAGCTGTAGATCCAGGACTGAAGCTGTAGACCCAGGACTGAATCTGTAGACCCAGGACTGAAGCTGTAGACCCAGGACTGAGGCTGTAGATCCAGGACTGAAGCTGTAGATCCAGGACTGAGGCTTTCCACTTCGAGTGTTCCCTTGTCCTGTTCTTCTCCTCTTTCTGTTATATCTTGCATATTTAACAAAAACGGCCTTGTCTGCGATGAACATTACAATAGACTTGTGATTTATGTTTAATAGTTGGAAGTGCACATTTAAGGAGCTTTTTTTTTCTAGTATGTTCTAGTCCAGAGGCCGACAACACAAATTGTCAGTGTCCTCTGAAGTCAGGCTGTTCTGACCTTTTAAAAGAAGGTATGACATTGGAGCTGAAGTTGTCTAAAGGATTTTTACCATCTCCCCGCAGACCTCCGGAGCCTGGCGTCCCGTCGCCGGGGAAGGCCGTCCTGTCTATGTCCAGTCTGAGCTACGGCGTGATCCGCGTGGACACCGAGGAGAAGCTGTCTGTCCTCAGTGTGCAGGACGTGGGACAAGCACTGCCTGGAGGTGAGACCAGGAGGAGACAGGAGCTGCTCTCTATGGCAACACAAACTGTGGCAACACAAACTATAGCACAAACTGTGGCAACACTAGCCTGGTCAATGATAATTTCCTACATGCACGTCGGGGTCTGATCCTAGTGGCTGCAGTTTCCTCGGTTGAATCCCCTCTGACCCTTCAGCGAGAGGGGGAGGCGCATGTTGTAGGTTGGTGTCAGCGACGTCAAGAGTTTGCGCCGCATTGGCTGGTTGTAGTTTGGCGGAGAATGCAATAGTAAAGTAATCTGTTCTGTTTCAGCTCAAAATATCAAGAAAGTGAAGCCGGAGCAAGAGGAATGTTTAGCAAATGTCATTGCTGCAAAGATGTTGTGGCTCTACTCGCCACGGGCTCATTTAGTGGAAAAGGAGATGGCTAAAGCTAGGCTAATTTAATCTGCAAAAGGAGTTAACCCCTCCCACCTGTTAACGGAGCTAAATGAAGCAAATCCAGACCTTAATACAAATGAAATTACAGTACCTTGCGAAAGTATTCGGCCCCCTTGAACCTTTTAACATTTCGCCACATTTTAGGCTTCAAACATAAAGATATACCAAAATTATTTTTGTCATGAATCAACAACAAGTGGGACACAATCGTGAAGTGGAACAAAATGTATTTTGTTTTGATTTTGTTGTATGATTCGGTCTATGTGCCGGTTGTTGGCCTGTGTCTCTGTATTTGCATAAATGGTGTCTTATAAGCCCATGTGGGCTGGGCATCTTTGTATGCAAGACACTATAATAAATAAAAATCTATCTAAAAAATCGATCTATGCATTGGATAATTTAAACTTTTTTAACAAATAAAAACTGAAAAGGGGGACGTGCAATATTATTCGGCCCCTTTACTTTCAGTGCAGCAAACTCAGTCCAGAAGTTCAGTGAGGATCTTTGAATGATCCAATGTTGTCCTAAATGACTGATGATGATAAATAGAATGCACCTGTGTGTGATCAAGTCTCCGTATAAATGCACCTGCTCTTTGATCCTGTTTAAAGCGCTCCAAACTTTCATCTCAAACAAGGAGAAGACTGATCAGAGATGCAGCAAAGAGGCCCATGATCACTCTGGATGAACTGCAGATAACTACAGCTGAGGTGGGAGAGTCTGTCCATAGGACAACAATCAGTCGTGCACTGCACAAATCTGGCCTTTATGGAAGAGTGGCAAGAAGAAAGCCATTTCTCAAAGATATCCATAAAAAGTCTTGTTTAAAGTTTGCCACAAGCCACCTGGGAGACACACCAAACATGTGGAAGAAGGTGCTCTGGTCAGATGAAACCAAAATCGAACTTTTTGGCCACAATGCAAAACGATATGTTTGGCGTAAAAGCAACACAGCTCATCACCCTGAACACACCATCCCCACTGTCAAACACGGTGGTGGCAGCATCATGGTTTGGGCCTGCTTTTCTTCAGCAGGGACAGGGAAGATGGCTAAAATTGATGGGAAGATGGATGGAGCCAAATACAGGACCATTCTGGAAGAAAACCTGTTGGAGTCTGCAAAAGAGCTGAGACTGGGACGGAGATTTATCTTCCAACAGGACAATGATCCAAAACAAAGCCAAATCTACAATGGAATGGTTCACAAATCAATCAATCAATCAATCAACGTTTATTTGTAGAGCGCCTTTCCTACACAAGGCAACGCAAAGCGCTTCACATCCCCTATCACATCATGCATAAATCAAACACATTAAGAGCACAAGATATATTAAAAACATTAAAAATAAAATCACAAAAATTAAAAACCTTTAAACATTAAAATCACAGATGGGACTAAAATCATAAATAGTCACAGTGCATTAAAAAGATTAAAGATAAAAACAAAGATGAAAAGATAAAATCATTCAGTTGTATATGCGCAGCTAAACAGAATTGTTTTGAGCCTAGATTTAAAAGATGCCAGAGTAGACGCCTGTCTCACATTCTCAGGAAGACGGTTCCAGACTCTAGCCGCATGAATCTGAAATGCAGTTTGCCCATGTCTAGTACCGACTCTGGGCACTAACAGGAGTCCAGTCCCTGTGCTCCTCAGAGTCCGGGTCGGTTCATATGGCACAAACATGTCATGGATGTACCTTGGCGCGAGACCATGGAGAGACTTGTACACAAGTAAAGCTGCTTTGAAGTCTATTCTCTGAGGAACAGGAAGCCAGTGCAGAGACCTGAGAACTGGACTAATGTGGTCGTACTTCCTAGTTCTGGTCAGGACTCGAGCTGCTGCATGTTGAATGTACTGCAGCTGTTTTACAGCCTGTTTGGACAGACCTGTGAGCAGGCCATTGCAATAGTCTAACCGACTGGAGACAAAAGCGTGTATAAGAGTCTCCAAGTCTGCCTTAGACACTATGTTTTTAATTTTAGCAATGTTTTTTAGGTGGTAATAAGCTGCTGATGTTACAGATTTTATGTGGCTTTTGAAATTTAAGTCTGAGTCCATTATCACTCCTAGATTTCTGACCTGATTTGAGGGTTGTAGAGAGAGAGCCTGGAGGTGACAAATAACGCTCTCTCTTTGTTTCTGGGGTCCGAAAACAATTATTTCAGTTTTGTCGGTGTTTAGTTGGAGAAAGTTATTTTGCATCCAATCACCGATTTGCTGGACACAGTGAAGGAGCGAGTCCACTGGTTCATGCTCTCCTGCTGTCAGGGACACATAGACCTGAGTATCGTCAGCGTAATTGTGATAAGAGACATTATTACTGTGAATCAACTGACCTAGAGGCAACATGTAAATATTAAACAGAAGAGGACCCAGGATTGACCCCTGTGGCACTCCGCAGGTCAGGGCCAAGTGGTCTGAGGTACAGTTTTCGATCTCCACAAAAAACTTTCTGTCTTGTAAATAGGACCTAAACCAGCTTAGGGCGGTGCCAGCAACACCAACCCAGTCCTCAAGTCTCTGAATGAGGATGCCATGATCAATAGTGTCAAAAGCAGCACTTAAATCTAACAGAAAAAGGACTGAGACTTTTCCTGCGTCAGTGTTTAGTTTGATGTCATTTGTTACCTTTATTAGCGCGGTCTCAGTGCTGTGGTGGGGTCTAAACCCTGACTGGAACATATCATAAGCGTTATTGATTATTAAAAATTCTGATTATTAAAAATAGACGTATCCAGGTGTAGAATGGCCAAGTCAAAGTCCAGACCTGAATCCAATCGAGAATCTGTGGAAAGAGCTGAAGACTGCTGTTCACAAACGCTCTCCATCCAACCTCACTGAGCTCGAGCTGTTTTGCAAGGAACAATGGGCAAGAATTCCAGTCTCTGTGAAAAACTGATAGAGACATACCCCAAGCGACTCGCAGCTGTAATTGCAGCAAAAGGTGGCGCTCCAAAGTATTAGCGCAAGGGGGCCGAATAATATTGCACGCCCCACTTTTAAATGTTTTAATTGTTAAAAAAGTTTAAATTATCCAATACATTTCGTTCCACTTCACGATTGTGTCCCACTTGTTGTTGATTCATGACAAAAAATATTTTTTTTATATATTTATGTTTGAAGCCTGAAATGTGGCGAAATGTTGAAAGGTTCAAGGTGGCCGAATACTTTCGCAAGGCACTGTAATTCGATGTTGTGGTAAGACCAGGTTATGGCAACACAAACAGTTGCTAAAGTCCAGAAACACAAATTCTGCAAAATTCCCAACATTTGCAACAGCCCCAAAGCACAATGCTACTCTGTGATTGGTCGGTTGACTTGTTCCAAATCTAAAGTTGTGTTTCCCCAATGGTAAATTATCAAGCAGAATGTCAGTCACTTTCTGGAGAAAATTCCTCTCTCTGTGGATCACATCTGCCATCAGAAATAAAATACTCACAACACAAAATGACAAAATATTGGACCGTAAATACATACAGTGGGCCATTTTTCTCATTTCTAGTTTTATCTTGTTTTGTGACCGACAAATGTATCAACAACCAGGACAAATGTATCCTACACAATTTTACAGAGCAGCGAGTTTATCTCTGAGTTTGGTTCATTTTAATGTTTGCGATTATATTGAGTGCAGTCATGGGGGCCCCGTGGTGGCTTCGAGGCCCTCAGTAGGATCCACATTTACAGGTGTGTGTGTGCGTGTGTGTGTGTGTGTGTGCAGGGCTGGTGTGTGTGGTGCGAGTAGAGGGCCCCCCCCTGCTCTGCCAGACTGACGAGGTGGGGGAGATCTGCCTCAGCTCTGGAGCCTCAGGACTGTCCTACTACGGCCTGCCTGGGATCACCAAGAACGTCTTTGAGGTCTGTCTCTGTTTGAAACGGACAGATATATTTCTTCCTGCTGCTGTCAGACTGTACAAAGAGAACTGCTGAGCCTGTACATGTCATTCATCTGCAATCATGTGCAATGTGCAATACTGCAACTTCAGAATGTCACTTTCTCCACTCATTACCCTGCCCCACTGTATATGTACATGATTTTTCACTATACTGTATATATAGATAGACAGAGGTATCGAGATATATTTGTATTGGCGCATTTACAGCAAGCTGAGAAACATGGCTTATATTAATACTGTTAATACCGTTCTGTGAGTGTGTTGCAACAATGGAATTTCCCCACTGTAGGACGAATAAAGGATCTGTATCTTATATAAAGAGGTCCCTCACTATCACGGTTCAGGGGTCTCCAACTTTCACTTCAGGTAGACCTCATAATGCTACTATAAATTAAGTCAATTTTATTAATTTATTCATTCATTTATGTCTTAATCCATTTCTGGGTCGGGGACAATCAGAGCTGCCACCTAAATCCATAACCCTCACTTCAGGCAAGGTGGGGTTAAGTGTCTTGCCCAGGGACACAATGACAGCAGATATCAGTGGGAGCAGGGGGCATGGGTCGTGGGGGATCAAACCCATGTCCATTTGGTTTTATCTTGAAAAAAATTGTTAAAACAATGAAAGCTTTAGTCTTACTTCTTGTTTATTGGCAAATCTTGTTTTAAAGAAGCAGTTTGTAAAAATCTGGCCAAAAGTGGTAATGCAGCCTCTCTCACTCTCCCTGACTCAGGTTGCCAGATATGCAGACGAATCCAGCTGGGACCATAACAGCTGAATAGACAAGAGTTTTGTCAACAACAAATCTGTAACCAACACCTTTTTCACAAAGATAGAAATCTTGATTTTATTCCTTGTTTTGTCGTTAGTTTTACCTTTTTAGTACCTTTTTTAGTTCTGCGGCCACATGGTACTTTATCAGTGAGATTAGCTCGGCACAGTGAGTTCTGGCAACCCGGATCACGGACTTTCTGACGGTGGAGGACGGGAGATTGAATTAAAAACAGAAACAGTAAGATTTAGGGGCTGTAAAACTAATAATTTTAATTTAAAATATCTTGGCTGAACTACTGTTATCAGTTAAAGAAGTATTGGAAAAGACCATGGTGTATTAATGCCTTTTGACAGATTAGGGCCCTTTAATGATGATTTGACATAAAAATCTTTGACATATTGCTACTTTAATATAAGTTTTTTTAAAGTTCTATAATTCATTTTGGTTGTGTAGAGTTATAAAACAATCCATCAGAATGTATCTGTGCAGAACAATGATCCTTTGGGGAGATACTTTAAAGAGGGTGGCGAGCTACTGGTGGCTACTGAGCTATAAAAACAACAATTGTAAAGCGCCTTGTGACTGTGGTTTATGAAAGACACAATTCACATAAACATTACTCACTTACTAATGTTTGAGACCCCTGCTTTAGAGCTTCTCACCATGCTCTTCGATGTGTCCGGCTTCACGCTGATACAAGAGATCGATCACATCTAAATGCTGGATATGCAGAGTTTGTGTTGACGTTGTTTGTCCTCCTGCAGACCACCCCACTGTCGCCCTCTGGTGGCCCGGTGTGTGAGCGCGCCTTCACCAGGACCTCTCTGCTGGGCTTCATCGGACCGGTCAGTTCTGTTCATCCATCAAGCACAAATAAATCCATTATTCTAATAGTTGTCAACTCATTCAATAACCGGTGAATGGTGTTTGGAACATGTGAGAAGAGTTTTGATAACTTTGATCATTCTAGAAGGACTGTAAAATAAAATAATAATGTCAATCAATATAACAGTCGTCTCTCTGAAGAAGTTCTCAGGGGAAACATCACTGAGACATAAGATCCCATAAACATTGACCTTTCACGATCTAAACTCATTGATTAATCAAAAGAATTATCAGCAAACTAATCGCGTCCCGCCAAGCAATTTTAATCCAGCCCACGGCCCATTTTTCACAAAACTGTACTTAATCCAGCATTTTCTGCACCGCTTTGACGCATTTGAGCAGCGGTGTGTTCGTGGCCAGCTCCGGTCATCTGTGAAGACATTTGCGTTTCTCTCAACATCGAATGCAGAACTAAAAATAGGCTGTAAATATTTACTGCTAAAGACAGAGGCAAGCTGTGCTTAAACCTAACTGTGTTTAAGGAGAACCATTTGGGTCTGCACCAAACGAAGCAGAGAACTTTGCTATCCACGCTGCAAAAGTAGCAAGACTTTCACCTAGCGTTAGCATCAAGGGAGGCAGCAAGCTAGTCCAGATTTGTGATATCACACACAATTCCTATAAACAGTAAAGTATTCGCAGAGGGGGAGTTTGATCAGCAGTGTTTGGACTCTGCTGATTTAAAGGAGCAGTGCGTAAAAATCTGGCCAAAAGTGGAACTGCAATCTCCCTGACTCAGGTTGCCAGATATGCAAAGGAATCCAGCTGGGACCATAACAGCTGAATAGACAAGATTTTTGTCAACAACAAATCTATTACCAACACCTTTTTCACAAAGATAGAAATCCTCGTTTTATTCCTTGTTTTGTTGTTAATGATTTGAGAATCATAACAAAATGTTGAAATTAAGATGAAAAATTTAGTGTTTTAGGAAAAAACCTCTGGCCCTTAAAGGGTTAACACTGACTTAACTGTTGTTCCTGGCTCTAAAACAGTGTGTGTGTGTCTCTGTGTGTGTATAATATGTATATAATGTGTGTGTGTGTGTGTGTGTGTCTCTGTGTGTGTATAATATGTATATAATGTGTGTGTGTGTGTGTGTCTCTGTGTGTGTATGATATGTATATAATGTGTGTGTGTGTGTGTGTCTCTGTGTTTGTATGATATGTATATAATGTGTGTGTGCGTGTGTGTCTGTGTGTATGATATGTATATAATGTGTGTGTGTGTGTCTCTGTGTCTGTATGATATGTATATAATGTGTGTGTGTGTGTGTCTCTGTGTCTGTATGATATGTATATAATGTGTGTGTGTGTGTGTGTGTGTGTATGATATGTATATAATGTGTGTGTGTGTGTCCCTGTGTGTTTATGATATGTATATAATGCGTGTGTGTGTGTGTGTGTATGATATGTATATAATGTGTGTGCGTGTGTCTCTGTGTGTGTATGATATGTATATAATGCGTGTGCGTGTGTCTCTGTGTGTGTATGATATGTATATAATGGGTGTGTGTGTGTGTGTGTGTGTAGGACGGGCTGGTGTTCGTGGTGGGGAAGCTGGACGGTCTGATGCTGGTGACCGGACGCAGACACAACGCAGACGACGTGGTGGCGACGGCGCTGGCGGTGGAGCCCATGAAGTTTGTGTACCGCGGCAGGTGAGCTCAGGGAACAGCAGGTGCCACAGTGGGGCGGCTGCGGCTGCGGCTGCGGCTGCGGCTCAAAAATGCTCATGACACTCCGGTGTTCTGACGAGTTGTGTACTTCAAGCTCATTTAAAATAAAAAATGTGATGACACAAAAAATCTTCCATAACTGCGAGGCCGGAGACAAGGAGGTTGGATCTGAATGATCTATTGTGTTTCAGTTTCAATGTTCTGATCATAAAACTAGTTTTCCTTCTGTAAAATACTGTATTCTAAATTTACCACTACCTTATTACCATTTCAGGTATTGCTTTTAACCCGGCACACACCCTATACAGTGTGTCTGTGTGTATGCGCGTGCGCGCATAGATAATATATATGTGTGTGTGTGTGTGAATAATATATATATATATATATATGTGTGTGTGTGCGCAGGTGTGTATTATGTATGTGTGTGTATGTATAGTATAAATGTGTAAGCATGTGTGCGTGTATAATATATATGTGTGTGTGTGCGTGTAAAATGTGTGTGTGTGCGTGTGTGAAATATGTGTGTATGCGTGTATAATATATATGTGTTTGTGTGGGTGTGTATATTACATGTGTGAGTCTGTGTTTGTGTATAATACGTATATGTGTGTGTGTGTGTGCGTGTTTAATTTTGTAATATTTATGTTTCCCAGACTCGTAATGGTGTCCACACTGAAATTAATCTTTGATGTCCAATAGGGGGCGACAAACCTCTTCATACTGTGTTTTGAGACCCCCTTAATCAAACCAATATATTTGTGCAGCACACTGAGCTGTCTGTGTGTGTTGTTTGTGGTGCGTTCAGGATTGCGGTGTTCTCAGTGTGTGTGTTGCACGATGAGAGGATCGTGGTGGTGGCAGAGCAGAGGCCTGACGCTTCAGAGGAGGACAGTTTCCAGTGGATGAGCCGCGTACTGCAGGTGAGAGCCTCGTCCACCAGGGGGAGACACTCGTATGTACGACCAGTGCAGCTCATGTCTCACATCTTTCACACCACTCTGCCGCCTCCACACCTGTGGGTCAAAGCGCAACCAACAGGGAAAAAGAGCAAAAACAGTTCATATTTTTGTTTAAAATATTCAATTCAATGTCTTTGAATTTTTGTCTCGCCCTAAATCACAAATCAAACACAGGAAATGCAATAATATCAAACACAGGAGCCATTGGTCCAGAGAGAGCGGGACGACCACTGACCACTGTTCTTAGACCCTCATGCTTTGAAGTGTGTATTTGTGGGGGTGGTGTGTGTGTGTGTGTGTGCGCATGGGTAAGTGTGTGTGAGTGTTAATGTGGGTGTGTGTGTGTGTACGTGTCTGTGTGTGTGGGTGTGTGTGTGTTTTGGTGTGTTGTGTCTGGGATGGTGAGACGGTTTGTGTTCGGCTCTACCAGCCAGGTGTGTATGTGAGCTGGTTGTTGGGCAGGCCATTGATAGTATCCATCAGGTGTGTGTGTGCTAGTGTCTCTGCAGGCCATTGATAGTATCCACCAGGTGTGTGTGTGCTAGTGTCTCTGCAGGCCATTGATAGTATTCACCAAGTGTGTGTGTGCTGGTGTCTCTGCAGGCCATTGATAGTATCCACCAGGTGTGTGTGTGCTGGTGTCTCTGCAGGCCATTGATAGTATCCACCAGGTGTGTGTGTGCTGGTGTCTCTGCAGGCCATTGATAGTATCCACCAGGTGGGTGTGTACTGCCTGGCACTGGTTCCTGCGAACACGTTGCCCAAGGCTCCTCTGGGCGGGATCCACATTTCTGAGAGCAAACGCCGCTTCCTGGACGGGACGCTGCACCCCTGCAACGTCCTCATGTGTCCACACACCTGTGTCAGCAACCTGCCCCAGCCCCGCCACAAGCAGCCAGGTACACACATAAGATAAGATATACTTTATTGATCTCACAAAGGAGAAATGTACATGTCACATCTGGCATGGATAGAAACACTCAAGATTGTGCAAAAAGAAAGAAATGTGCAAACATGTTAAATGCAGGATATTATGTACAATAAAAAATGTGTTTATTTAAAAAGTGGCAATCAGAAACATATACATACACACACACACACACACACACAGTGACACTCATATGCTGAGACACACACATAAACAGTCAAACACACACACACACATATGCATGCGCACACAGACACGCACGCACACACACACACACACCATGCAACGTCCTCATGTGTCCACACCTGTGTCAGTAACCTGCCCCAGCCCCGCCACAAGCAGCCAGGTATAGACACACACACACGGACACACACAGAGACACACACATACATAAAACCACAGAGACACACATGCACAGAGACATACGCGCACACACTGTGACACTCATACACTGAAACACACACATACACAGTTACATACACACACACACACATACAGTGACACACAGATATGCACGCATGCAGAGACACACACATGCACGTACACACTTACAGAGACGCACATTGACACACATACGCACGCAACACAGAGACGCACACACACACATACAGAGACACACAGAGAGACACACACAGAGGCATAGAGACAACACACACAGACAGAGACACAAACACACACATTGGCTGAGACTGTGTGTGTGTGTGTGTGTGTGTGTGTGTGTGTGTGTGTGTGTGTGTGTGTGTGTGTGTGTGTGTGTGTGTTGCAGAGGTGGGTCCAGCCTCCATGATCGTGGGGAACATGGTGGCAGGGAAGAGGATCGCTGTGGCCTGTGGACGAGACGTGGGGCAACTGGAGGACAACGAGCAGGTCTCACACACACACGGCTTTAAACACGTCTCTCAGCTTTGGACAGAGTGTGTGTGTGGTGTATGTGTGTGAGTGTCTATGCCTCTGTGTGTCTCTGTATGTGTGTGGTGTGTGTGTGTGAGTGTCTATGCCTCTGTGTGTGGGTGCGTCTCTGTCTGTCTGCGTGTGTCTCTGTCTGTCTGTGTCTCTGTGTGCGTGCGAATGTCTGTCTGTCTGTGTGTGTGTGTGTGTGTGTGTGCAGGTGTGTGTGTTTGTGCGTGTGTCTCTCTCTGTCTGTGTGCGTGCGGATGTCTGTGTGTGTATGTGTGTCCATGACTGTGTATGTGTGTGAGTGTGTGTCTCAGTGTAAGTGTGTCACTGTGTATGTGTGTGTGTGTGTGTGTGTGTCTCTTTAAACACGTCTCTCAGCACAGCAACACAATAGAGAAGCAAGTATACAATAAAGTGTTTTGTTTCTCTTCCTTGTTGCCCCTGTAGTTCTTGTATATCCAGGACGTCCTGCAGTGGAGGGCCCAGGCCACTCCAGACCACCCCCTCTTCATGGTCCTCAACTCCAAGGTATGCACCATCTCTGTGACCAGTATTCACCGAATTGTGTAAGACTCATAGTTTATCAAATACAAAACTAAAGAAACAGCTCAAATGTAATAAATGTATTTCTTAAGTTCATTTCAGTAGTTACAAATCTTTCAACTGTGCCACAACACACATTCAAATCCATGAAAACGTGTGAAGAAGATGACAAAGTCTGGGATCGTGTCTTTAATTCAGACTGAAGACATGTTTTATTGTCGTTGGTAGAGACAGCACGAACACGATAATAGACAGCAGAGGAATGAACACCGTCCAATCAGCTTTCGCCGCGATGCCAGTAGCTTGGCCTTCAGAAATCAAAACATGCAGTGGAAAAGTACTGGCTTGTGCATATTATTAGAATGATGAGTTAGAACTTTAACCACAGTTGCTTCAAAGTGTCATGAAATCTCTAAACGTGTTAAAATGTGATTCAATTCAGAAAACTGTAGAAGAAGGATTCTACTCCTTTGTCCGTCCAAATGAAATCATGCAAAGCTGTGGTTTCATTGTTGCAGCTGGTGTTGAAAGCAGAATGATGTTGGTGCATGGTTATAAAGTTCCACTACGCCGAAACGACATTCTGGTTGTTTTTGCTTTGCAGCGTGTCTGCAGTGCCTCTGTATAAACCGGGCCTAAGATAAGATAAGATAGACTTTATGGGGCTTGCCTATTGTCATTGGTGTTAATGTGTGTGTGTGTGTGTTTTGTTGAAGGGCACTGTAGGGTATTGATTCTTGCTTTTGTGTTGTATTGTAATATGTATGTGTCTACGTTTCCTGTGAATTATTGCAATAAGTGCATGTTTGAAATAAATACAAATAAAAATGAAAAAAATGAAAAAGTGGAAAAACAACACACCCTCTCCCTTCACACAACACTCCACCTCAGGGCTGAACTTTTTGAACAAATGAACAGGATTGATGCAGAATGTTTGTTGTGTGTCCAGGGCACAGTGTCCAGCTCGGCCTCGTGTGTCCAGCTGCAGAAGAAAGCAGAGAGGGTGGCAGCAGCTCTGAGCGGCCGCATCAACACTGGAGACCATGTGGCTCTGCTTTATCCCCCAGGTACTATGTAGACCACTGCTGACCACCTCAGACCACTGCTGATCACTGCTGACCACTCACACTCTGTTCGACCTCCCTGCTACTACAGCATTCAAAAAGCTGTCCAAAAGACCCTCTGTTTGCTGTGCCCCTCCCCCCTTTGATCTCTTCATCTCCACAGCTGCAGTGGCCAAACATTTCTCCAGGTCGTCTGATATTATCTTGCCTGATTATATTGTATAAGCCAAGAGTATGACCCTCATTCTTTAAGATATTTTGCATAATTCATTTTTCTACATTATGATCAATATTGGTCCCAGTATTGTCCCTTGTGGTACTCCATTGCTTATATCCCTACAACTTGATTTGCATTGTATTTTTCATTTGCGGCCACATGTAAAAGATAAACCCAATCAGACTCGTTTGTCTTTATTGTGTGTGCAGGTGTGGATCTCATAGCCACGTTCTATGGCTGCCTGTACGCCGGAGTGGTCCCGGTCACTGTGAGGCCCCCGCACCCCCAGAACCTGGCCACCACGCTGCCCACGGTCAAGATGATCGTCCAGGTAACTGCACCACTCTTTACGTCTTCGCTTATAATGTGCATTTTAAAGTTGGGGTATCTAACTATGTTTGTCCCAGCATAGAGTTTTGTAAAAGTTAATGTTATGAACAAATCAGACCACAACAGGCTGTCTAATCATCTCTCTAATGACCATGTTATGTTAAACTAGTGATAGAAGTGTTTTAGAGCCAGGAACTATTATTTATTGTATTATCGTATGTTTTTTTTTTTTTTTGTTCTGAAAGTTACATACCGCAGCTTTAGGGAAACTAGTATGTGTGACGCTGTGGTGATGTGTTGGACAGGTCAGCAAGTCGGTGTGCATCCTGACCACGCAGACCATCATGAAACTTCTGAAATCTAAAGAAGCGGCGGCGGCTGTGGACGTGAAGAGCTGGCCCCTGGTCATGGACACAGGTAACACACTTTTTAGGTGTGGGTGTGTCTATACTTCTGTGTTTATACTTCTGTGTTTATACTTCTGTGTCTATACCTCTGTGTTTATACTTCTGTGTCTATACTTCTGTGTTTATACCTCTGTGTTTATACGTCTGTGTTTATACTTCTGTGTTTATACTTCTGTGTTTATACCTCTGTGTTTATACCTCTGTGTTTATACCTCTGTGTTTATACCTCTGTGTTTATACCTCTGTGTCTATACTTCTGTGTTTATACTTCTGTGTCTATACTTCTGTGTTTATACCTCTGTGTTTATACCTCTGTGTTTATACCTCTGTGTTTATACCTCTGTGTCTATACTTCTGTGTTTATACCTCTGTGTTTATACCTCTGTGTCTATACTTCTGTGTTTATACCTCTGTGTTTATACCTCTGTGTTTATACTTCTGTGTCTATACTTCTGTGTTTATACTTCTGTGTCTATACCTCTGTGTCTATACTTCTGTGTCTATACTTCTGTGTCTATACTTCTGTGTCTATACTTCTGTGTTTATACCTCTGTGTTTATACCTCTGTGTCTATACTTCTGTGTCTATACTTCTGTGTTTATACTTCTGTGTCTATACTTCTGTGTTTATACTTCTGTGTCTATACCTCTGTGTTTATACCTCTGTGTTTATACTTCTGTGTTTATACCTCTGTAATGGCTGACCAATACTATTCGATGTTGTAGCGACCCGTCTCAACGCTGGTGTAACGTGTAATGGTGCTTTCAGACCGGATCATGCGTTGCGTCGGGTTTCAATGCAAAGTCTATGGTGGCACGCGTTCGGCCGTCACAACGCACGGACCTCTCGGTTCGCAGGAGATGGATTCGGCTCATCCTTTCCTTGGGACGTTCGTGCGACAACCAATCAGAGAGCAGCAAAGTGGTCACGGGGACATTAGCGGACTGAGCGAGCAGATTGAAAATACTCGTAAACAGCCAAAACAGGAGCCACACCAGGCTTCACCAGAACTCAAACCAGGGTTGACAGTGGGGGACTCTGTGCTTGTGAAAATATGTGTTGTGATGCTCCCGTGACCTTATGCAACTGCTTCGAGTGTGTTCGCCGATGCGGAAATTTCGTTTAATAATATTAATAAACGTATGGCGCACCTCCGTGAACACATACTACTGTTATATAAAGCCCGTGGAATGTCTCTGTTCAAAGACACGCTGCAAAGCTGCATATTGGAGAAGATCTGTACACAAGAAGCCGCTAGCATAGCTCTGTTAGCATTAGAGCCGGCCGGCTACTTCCGGTACTGGCCAGGACGTTCTGGTGTGAAGTCCTCTGCGTCTGAAAACTAGAGAATGCGCGTCTGGTGAGCGGGGCTTCAGCATTTCAGCGTTGCCGGTCTGAAAGCCCCATCAGTCCGTGGTGATAGAAGGATGACTTTCACGATAATAGAACAACAGGATGGAGCAGGGTTTTCTTCACTTTCCTTCCTCCCCTACGTCACTGTCACATGACACATTTCACCCAATCACAATACCCCACTGCACTGCTCCAAACTAACAAATGTATGACTCATCAAAATAATAACACTCTTAGTTCTAAGGCTAAGGGCACATTCTACTGGTCTTCCCTTTACTCATGTTTCCATTTGTTTTGCCAACAGTAACTATTCTTAAGTTGTTTAAGTGATTAGATGTATGGACTTTATTAACATCTATGGTCTTGGGTCACCTGCCCCTTACGAAACAATGGCTCTATGTGTTTTTTTATCATTGTATTTTTCTGTTTTTTGTTTCTCTGATCGTAAAGTACTCAGAGATAACTACTGTATTTATTTACTGATTTAGGGCTCTACAAAAATACATTGAACTGCATTGAATTCCCACGACTGAACACAAATAATGACCATTGACCTCCATGTTACAAATCCTGAATCTGAGTCTGTGTCTCTGTTCCAGACGACCTCCCCAGAAAGAAGTGTGTTCAGCCGTACAAGCCGCCCACTCCGGAGATGTTGGCGTACCTGGACTTCAGCGTCTCCACCACGGGCATCCTGGCCGGAGTCAAGGTGGAAAAACTAAATACTCCCTCTGATGATGGACAAATCTAAAATACAACATTTTCAACCATTTCCAAATCAGACTCTGATTGACTAGACCAGGCACGTCCAAACTAAGGCCCGTGGGACAATTGCGGCCCTCAATGTCACTTTATGTGGCCCTCTGCCTTGCTAACCCAAAGTCGTCTTTGAGATCATAAACACAAGTTCACTGTGTCATCCATCCAACTTCAGCTCAATAATTCAGCCAATATAGACATGCTGTACCTTGTTCTAAAAGCCCATACGTCTGGAATTCAGTTGTTGACTTTATATGTGTATACTGTACTGACGTGGTTTTTGATTGTGTCACAAACTTCCGTTAATGGTGCTAATGTTGCTAGTGACATGGTAAACATAAACAGCCAAATTCCAATCAAGTTTTTCCATTTGTGATTTCGGTCCCTGGACTAGCCTGGTGAACTAAAGTGGCCCTCTTGCTAAAATGTTTGGACACCCCTGGACTAGACTCTGTGCAGACAGTATGAGACGCTGAGGCCAAGGAATGAAAGAAGGCTCTTACTCATGTTATAGTTAGGGGCTGGTACAATCATTTGTCATGAAGAAGGCCGATATAAAGTATAAAGCGGGGGTCTCCAACCTTTTTCAATTGGAGAGCTACTTTCATAAAACGTAAATGGCAGAGAGCTACTCCTTTGGCAGTCGTAATAAAAGTGTAGCCCATACGATAACTACAGCCAATCATGGAGAACACACATGCACAACATACCATTATACCAGACAGTGTCCCTGCATTCATGATAAGATGTAAAATTAAAATAGATTATTGAATCCTTTGGGGAGCTACCTGAAGGAGGGTGGGGAGCTGCTAGTAGCTCCCCAGCCACAGGTTGGAGACCCCTGATATAGAGCCCATTGTCAGTTAAGGCAAAACTTAAAATATGTAGAATATTGATGTCAAAACTTCTCTTCTGTCCTTTCTTTATGGTCCAGTCTCACAGTCTGTCCTCTCTCTGGTCCAGCCTTCACAGTCTCTGTCCTTTCTCTTTGGTCCAGTCTCACAGTCTGTGTCCTCTCTCTCTGGTCCAGTCTCACTGTCTGTCCTCTCTCTGGTCCAGCCTTCACAGTCTCTGTCCTCTCTCTCTGGTCCAGTCTCACTGTCTGTCCTCTCTCTGGTCCAGCCTTCACAGTCTCTGTCCTCTCTCTCTGGTCCAGTCTCACTGTCTGTCCTCTCTCTGGTCCAGCCTTCATGGTTTCTGTCCTCTCTCTGGTCCAGCCTTCATGGTCTCTGTCCTCTTTCTGGTCCAGCCTTCATGGTCTCTGTCCTCTCTCTGGTCCAGATGTCCCATAGTTCCACCAGTGCCCTGTGCCGGTCCATTAAGCTGCAGTGTGAGCTGTACCCGTCCCGACAGATCGCCATCTGCCTGGATCCCTACTGTGGCCTGGGCTTTGCTCTGTGGTGCCTCTGCAGGTGAGGAGGGCTCACTAACCACACACACACACACACACACACACACACCCTTCATATAAACATGAATGCACACACAAAGATGCATGGACACAACTCCACATACACACACATAAGCACAAAAACATGCACAAACATGCAATGCTACACACAAAGATGCACACATACCTCCACAAACACACACAAGCACTCAATAATTCATTCAATAACTTTGCAAAATGTATTCCACTTTGAGCACATTCTGACCGTCCTAAAATAATATTTACCAATGGGATGAAACAAAATAATCTTGTTTTAAAAAGGTACAAGAGATGTCTCCCTTTGAATGAGAAAATAAAGCAACAGTTCTTGAAATAGGACTAAATGTCTTTGTCCCATTGGAGAATCTTGTTTTAAGACTCTAAGTCTTAGTTTGAGACAGAATTAACTCAGACTAAGATAAAAACCACCGGATTCAAGCAGTAATTACCTCTTATTTTATCATTTGTTGCAGTGTTGTAAAGTTTTAAATGATTTGACATTTGAAAAGAAGAAATGCCAAAGTAAACGGGTGATCTTCCGCTGTGTGCAGTGTGTACTCGGGTCACCAGTCCATCCTGGTGCCTCCTCTAGAGCTGGAGACCAACCCCTCGCTCTGGCTCTGTGCGGTCAGCCAGTACAAGGTGCGGGTGACCTTCTGCTCCTACAGCGTCATGGAGGTGTGCACCAAGGGCCTGGGTGCGCAGACCGACCAGCTCAAGGTAGGGGCCTACTCTAGAGCAGACTGACCAGCTCAAGGTAGGGGCCTCCTCTGGGGCAGCCCGACCAGCTCAAGGTAGGGGCATCCTCTAGAGCAGACCGACCAGCTCAAGGTAGGGGCCTCCTCTAGAGCAGACCGACCAGCTCAAGGTAGGGGCCTCCTCTAGAGCAGACCGACCAGCTCAAGGTAGGGGCCTCCTCTAGAGCAGACCGACCAGCTCAAGGTAGGGGCCTCCTCTAGAGCAGACCGACCAGCTCAAGGTAGGGGCCTCCTCTAGAGCAGACCGACCAGCTCATGGTGGGGGCCTCAAGGTGGTAACTGATCAAGTGTGTGTTTCAGCTGAAGAGTGTGAACCTGGCGTGTGTGCGGACCTGCATGGTGGTGGCAGAGGAGCGCCCCCGTATGGCCCTCACCCAGTCCTTCTCCAAGATCTTCAAGGACCTGGGCCTGTCCCCCCGAGCGGTCAGCACCACATTCGGCTGCCGGGTGAACGTGGCCATCTGCCTACAGGTACTGCCTCCTCTCCTAGTGGGCTGTGTTTGTGTAATAATGTCAGTCTGTACCTGTCCTCACACTTAATGTAAAGCAGAAATGTCAAAACGATCCAGTTTTATAGAAAAAAAACTCAAGAGAAGTTTGTTTTGGTCTTGTCCTGTCCCCTCCTGTCCTGTGTACAAACGTGTCTCCCCTGTTTCTGTGTCTCTGTATGTGTGTGTCTGTCTGTGTGTACGTTTGTGTGTGTCTGTGTCTCTGTGTGTATGTGTGCGTGCGTATGTGTGGTGTCTGTCTATGTGTGCGTTTGTGTGTGTGTGTGTGTGTGTGTGTGTGTGTGGTCAGCCCAACCGTCTGGGGCCGCTGCAGGAGCAGGTAGTGTCCCAGTGACCCTCAGTGCTGCATGAGTGAGTGTTGGACTAGAACATGAGAATGCTCATCATGAGGCACTTCGAGCTCATCTGTCAGTGCGGCTGCAAGGAACAATCCATCCCTTCTCGCTTCATTGTTACAAACCTCTTCAACAAATCAGTATGAATCATCAGCTATGGCTAGCAGCGCTTCAGGCCCTGATTACACGGAGACGCAGCTAAGCAATCCGCAAAAAAAACATCCCCACCTCAACAATGTAAAACAATGCAGTTCTTGCGCCTGGCCAGTAGTGGGCAGTGAAACTTTACAATGTGACACCCACCAGTTTAACCACGTCCTCAACAACATACTCCTCAGGCCACTGCAGAATACACCAATATCATGCTGCATTAAACTACAACGCATCTACAGCTTTGCGTGCTTTTGTTTGGACGAAGAAGCAGAATTTCTCCTGTCGATCCGCCGCCATTGTTTTTTATTTTTGTTCTTGGCTCCTGTGCAAAGTCCACACGCACAGGGGAGGGGGGGCGTGGAGGTCATCGCAGCCAAAGAGCTCGCGTTTTTTTCTTCACGCGGCTGCGATACGGCCCTCTGCGGCATCAGTATTGTTCCGCTCCGGAGGCTGTTTTTCCAAGCTTGCGTTTGAACGAAAGGCCAATCCCCTAAAGTCAACTCTATCGTCTTACTATCACAGCGTCTCCGTGTAAGAAGGGCCTCAGACCGCTCCCTGTCAGACCATCCCAGGCCCCCATCACAGGCCCCCATCTCAGCCTGAGCAAGTGCTTCAACCTGAGATACGGCTTCTCCTGGAGTCTAAACCTAAAGCTCAGCCGCTGGATAATGCTTTCACACGGGTGCAAAGACTAAAAATGAATGCACTACTTTCTCTAAACAAAGACATAGCGGCTCTGACTGGTTCTGGGTCTGCTCAAAACCAGGGTTTAGGGTCAGGGTTACGGGTTATAATCTTCAGGGAACCTTATATTGTCCATGAAACAAACAGCAGCATGTGTCGTGGAGACACACACACACACACACCTGCCTGTGTCTATCACCATGAGGGGACTTAGCATCAGGTGAATAACTATATAATCCACTGAAATACATTGCAAATGCTGTATACATTTAAAACGTTATTTAGTTAGTCCCACACCTGTTAGCTAGTGCCACAGCCAATAGCTAGTCCCAAAGGTGATAGCTAGTTCCTCAGGTGTTAGCTAGTCCCACGGCTGTTAGCCGAGACCCGATCACTCCATTTTGTGATGGCCAGATTCCTCACTCTATTGGACAAGATGTATCGTTCATGATTTAGGTTTTCGTTGTTAATTGTGCTGCGCATGAATGAACTGTAAATCTCTCTGAAGAGTGCGACATCACAGTGTTTGACTCACGTCTGAACCACAGACTTTTGTCCTCGTCTCCAGGCTGCAGCTGCTCGGCTTTGCTCACATCTCATCTGTGTCTGTAGGACCACTGCTCTCTTACTGTATGTCCTCTCATCTCTCTCCTCTCTCTCCCCTCTGTCCTCTTTCCCCCATCTGTCCTCCCTCTCCCCCGTCCCCCTCTCTCTCCACTCACTCCTCTCTCTCCCCTCTGCCCCTTCCCCCTCTGTTCTCTCTCTCTCCCCTCACTCCTCTCTCTCCACTCACTCCTCTCTCCCCTCTGTCCTCTTTCTCTCTCTGCCCCCTCCCCCCTCTGTTCGCTCTCTCTCCCCTCTCTCCACTCTCTCCTCTCTCCCCTCTGTCCCCTCTCTCCACTCACTCCTCTCTCTCTCCTCTCCCCCCTCTATCCTTTCTCTCCCCTCTCTCCTCTCCCTCCTCTGTCCCCTCTCTCCACTCACTCCTCTCTCGCTCCTCTCTCTCCTCTCCCTCCTCTGTTCCCTCTCTCCACTCACTCCTCTCTCTCTCCTCTCTCCTCTCTCCCCTCTGCCCTCTCTCTCCCCTCCCCTCTCTCTCAGGGCACCTCGGGACCGGACCCCACCACAGTGTACGTGGATATGAGAGCCCTGCGCCATGACAGGTGGGAACAAGAACACAGCTGTTCATATTTAACACTTCTGCCACACGCTCATCAGAGGTGGCAAGTATCTAAGTGCTGTACTTCAGTATTCTTTCCTGATACTTCATTTTACTATTTATTTCTCTGACAGTTACTCATACTAATCAGTGATGATCCTGGACATGAACTTTACTGGACAGGGGTCATCCTGATCCCTATGGACCTCCTAAGCCTCCTATGTTGTTGTTATTATTGCATTTCCTGTGTTCAAACTGATTGATTCCGTGATCTGGATGGATAAGGAATCACCCAGAAGTCTTATGTAGGCCCTTATCGAGAGAGGGATCCGCTCCCAAGATCAACTCAGGCTGTAGATCCAGGACTGAGGCTGTAGATCCAGGACTGAGGCTGTAGATCCAGGACTGAGGCTGTAGATCCAGGACTCAAGCTGTGGATCCAGGACTTAAGCTGTAGCTCCAGGACTGAGGCTGTAGATCCAGGACTCAGGCTGTAGATCCAGGACTGAGGCTGTAGATCCAGGACTTAGGCTGTAGATCCAGGACTCAGGCTGTAGATCCAGGACTTAAGCTGTAGCTCCAGGACTGAGGCTGTAGATCCAGGACTCAGGCTGTAGATCCAGGACTTAGGCTGTAGCTCCAGGACTGAGGCTGTAGATCCAGGACTCAGGCTGTAGATCCAGGACTGAGGCTGTAGATCCAGGACTCAGGCTGTAGATCCAGGACTCAGGCTGTAGATCCAGGACTTAGGCTGTAGCTCCAGGACTGAGGCTGTAGATCCAGGACTGAGGCTGTAGATCCAGGACTGAGGCTGTAGATCCAGGACTGAGGCTGTAGCTCCAGGACTGAGGGTGTAGATCCAGGACTCAGGCTGTAGATCCAGGACTGAGGCTGTAGATCCAGGACTGAGGCTGAGGCTGTAGATCCAGGACTGGATCTGAGGCTGTAGATCCAGGACTCTATCCTGTATCTACTTTTCCCCTTTTCAATGTGTGTCCTTGTTTAGTAGTTTATCATCGTTCATTCATGTTTGAGTCATTTACGGCCTTTACCACTGGAGAATGTTGCTGACTGCAGTTCCTGTGTTGGCCTGTAGGGTGCGGCTGGTGGAGAAGGGCTCTCCTCACAGTTTGGCGCTCATGGAGTCTGGAAAGGTCAGTGATAACTCCATCATAACATCACACCTCTTCATACAAACGGTGGGACACAGTTCTGGCTACAGTTTTGAATGAAACAAACATATATATTTTATCACAGTTCCAAAATAAATGAGCAACAGTTTCAGGGCTGCTTTTGTCCACATGTTTGTAATGTATCAGAATCCGTTTTTTTTTTTATTGCCATTGTGAGTAACAGGAAGTCACAAACTAGGAATTTGCTTTGGCTCTCGATGCAAAGAAGAGTAAAAATAGAATAAGGCAATATGTAAAACATTTGGCCAAAAGTGGTACTTCACTCTCCCTGACCTTAGATTGCCAGATACGCAGACGAATCCAGCTAGGACCATATTATCTGAAAGAGTTTTGTCAACAACAAATCTATAACCTAATATAATCTATAACACCTTTTTTACAAAGATAGAAATCTGATGTTGTTGAATGTCTTTTATTCCTTGTTTTCTCGTTAAAGAGCGACTAAACAACCGGTGCCCAGCCTGACTCCGCCCACATGAACATTTGAAATTTCTCTCTAAAAAGTGCATTGCCTGGAGGACCAAGGGACAAGAAGGGGGGCTTGGAGTTGGGCGTGGTCTGGGCTGTGAAAAAAAAAACACACAGTAGTCATTGCTGCTAAAAGCTATAGTTTACACACCAGAAAGTCTCATTCCACCCTTGTTTACACACTAAGATAATTGTGGAGCTACACACCTGAACCTAATCCACAGAATTATCTCAGAATCACTCATGTAATTTCATTTTAATCCACTGGATGTCGCCAGAATACTCCAACCTGCAGCTGGGGCATGTGTGAGAGTTGGATGGGTTGATGGGCCACACAGACGTTTTTCGGCTCAAAAGTGAGATTTTATCTAGTTTGAACTAAAATGTCAAAAAAATGACCAGGATATGTAGAGAGCACTACAATTAACATATTTATGCAGTTTATGAGTTAAAAAAAGTTGATTTGGTGTTTAGTTGCTCTTCAATGATTTGAGAATCATAACGAGACCTGCTGTGAGTTCTGGCTACCCGGATCATGAACTTTCTGATTGGTAAAACGGTGGAGGGAAATTAAACATCGAAATTAAAACAATAACAAGATTTAGGGGCTTTAAAACTCATTCTGAATCCAAATATCTCTGAACTACTGTTTTCAGTTAAAGAAGTATTGGAAAAGAGCATGGTTTATTAATGATTAGGGGCCTTTAATGATGACTTGACATGAAAATCTTTGTTTTCTGGGTAAATTCCAGACTTCCCCTGGTTAATGTTGGGAATATATTTTGCGTGGATTGTGTGATATTTTGTATGATTTTTTTCCCATAGAGTGTAACAGTTTGCTCTTGTTGTGTTGTCGTGTGAACAGATTCTCCCTGGGGTCAAAGTCATCATCGCCAACACAGAGACCAAGGGCCCCCTGGGGGACTCCCACCTGGGGGAGGTCAGCACGCACCTATAAACACCAGCACACAACTATGCACACCAGCACACAACTATACACACCAGCACACAACTATACACACCAGCACACAACTATACACACCAGCACACAACTATGCACACCAGCACACAACTATACACACCAGCACACAACTATACACACCAGCACACAACCATAAACACCTACATTCATCTGAACACATCTGCACACACCAGCACACAACTACACACACCTAAGAAATGAGAGGTGGGGAGGGGGAGAGGTGAGCAAGAGGAAGGGGTGAGAGAAGGAGGGGTGAGAGGTGTCTGCGAGCGAGGAGCGAGCGAGAGGCAGTGATGGGAATAACGGCGTTACTAGTAACGCCGTTACTAACGCCGTTACTTTTTTCAGTAACGAGTAATCTAACTAATTACTTTGACAGTAACTATAACGCCGTTATCATTTCCGACATCCCGTTACTGCGCGTTACTCAAGACGCACAATGAACGTGTTGTCATGAGAGAAGGGAAGATGAGAAAACCTCTCAGCAATTATTGGCTGATGTAAATCATATTTCCTTTACAATCTACATGTCTACAGTTGAGAGGATGGCTCATAAATTGTGTTTTTGAAACAAATATGGGTCTTAATCGCGCTCAACCACGGCTTGTATCACCGTGAGGTCAGCCTCAGAGGAGCGCATGTGAGCGCAGAAGTCGGCTGCATACAATTCCATCGATAAGCTCCTTGCTCTTCCTGGTTTATCTGCTAAGGACAGCAACAGGTTTGGCTAACATACATATAACACATTTTTACATAATCTAAAATGCACCTAGGGTAATTTTTCAATTACTATAGGAATGATAAGAAAGAGAGGTGAAGTGTAAGACGGTTGATTTTAGAAATTGGATGCAGCCGGCTGCAGCAAAACAGAGGAGTTTACGGAGGACACACGCGTTTTGTTTTACTTTTTAAAACTCATTGGACTCATTTCCAAATGGAGGATTACATATCTACGCTCAAACCATTCACTGGATTTAAACAAGGAACTGGTCTGAACCGAAGTGGACTGTGCAGGTCATTTATAAGGTATAGCTATAAGGTAAGACCCATAACTCATAGTTTTGCGTTTTGTATGAACACACAATGCGGGCATAAAACATATTTTGCTGTAGCCAAACAAATTGTCCACTTGATTTATATGATGTATATGTTCATCTGATTGGACTGAAGTCAGTGCTTCACCAGCCTCACCGCTCGTCACCGGTGTTTCCACATTCACAGTGGCGGGCTTTACAGCACAGACAGAGATGAAGAGTGAACAGGACTTCAGCAGCAAAACAGCCTTTTCTAGATGGAAATATTGGCACTGTTAAAGGTAAAAATGCGCACGTCGGGTGCACATTATGTTCCAGAACAAAACAAAAAAGTAACGCAATAGTTACTTTTACTGGTAACTAGTTACTTTTATAGTGGAGTAACTCCGTTAGTAACTCAGTTACTTTTTGGGAGAAGTAACTAGTAACTATAACTAATTACTTTTTCAAAGTAACGTGCCCAACACTGGCGAGAGGGAGGGTGTGAGAGAGGGAAGGGTTAGAAAGAGATGGGCAAGAAGGAGGGGTGAGTGAGAGGCACTTGGGGGAAGAACGGAAAGAGATTTCAACCCTCTCTAATTCAAAATGATTCGAGGCAAAGAGCTGCGTTGTGATTGGCCGAGAGAAGCATGCACTTAAACCAATCACAGCACTGTTTTCAGAACCAGAAGATTAAGAATTAAACCTCAGCATCATCACAAACAGAAAAGAAAGTCCAGAGAAATGAGACAGAACCGACAGTTGGACATTTCCACAGCTCCTGATGATGTTGTTCCTCTCTCCGCTCTAACACGTGTTGATGTTTGTACGCAGCAGTTGACCAAAGAGTTGTTATGTGCTCAGATCTGGGTGAGCAGCCCCCACAATGCATCTGGGTACTACACGGTGTACGGGGAAGAGGGGCTGTGTGCCGACCACTTCAACACCAGGCTGAGCTTTGGAGACACACACACGCTCTGGGCTCGCACCGGCTACCTGGGTTTCCTGAGGCGCACCGAGCTCACGGACGCCAGCGGAGGTGAGGGCACAGGGGACTCACCAGGGCAGGGGCACGGGGGACCCACCAGGACAGGGGCATGGGAGACCCACTAGGGCTAGGGCAGGGGCAACCCACCAGGGCTGGGACAGGGGGACGGGTGACAATCACTTGTTTCTGTCACATTTAAATCAAACCATGCTAGAATAATCAGAGGCCACAGAGCCACCTCTGCAGAGAGGCGGCTCCTCTGGGTGAACGTGTCGTTGAATCCTAGTAGCGCTAAGCACCCAAACGTATTATTAGAACTATGGCTTAGACGCCGGGGTGACAGTGGCTCAGTTGGTAGAGCACTGGCCTTTTGGCCTGAAGGTTGTGGGTTCGAGCCCACCACAAGACCTATTTCACAACTCCCACTGATGGCTTCTGCCATTGTGTCCTTGGGCAAGACACTTAACCCCACTTTGTATGAAGCCCCCGCTGAAAAACCAAGGCTCCTGTGGACTCAGCACCTGCAGGAGGATCAGTGAGGGGCTGGTGCTGTGTGTACTGGGTGCAGCTCTGACTGTCCCCCCGACCCAGAAATGGATTAAGGGGAAGAAAATGGATGGATGGTTGGTATGTCTAAAACCTGTCCGTGCTTCTGTTTGCAGAGCGTCATGACGCCCTGTATGTGGTGGGCTCTCTGGACGAGACCCTGGAGCTGCGGGGCATGAGGTACCACCCCATTGATATTGAGACGTCGGTGAGCCGCGCCCACCGCACCATCGCCGACTGGTGAGTGTGAACAGCATCGCCATGGTGATTGATGCTTGCCTAACCCATTCTTTCCTGTAGCCACTTCTGCCAATTCCTGAACAAACTAATTCTAGTCTTGTGTCTGTCTGTGTGTGACTTTTGCCTGTGTGTGTGACTTTTTCCTGTGTGTGTGTGACTTTTGCCCGTGTGTGTGACTTTTTCCCTTGTGTGTGCCCAGTGCGGTGTTCACCTGGACCAACCTGCTGGTGGTAGTGGTGGAGCTGGACGGCTCGGAGCAGCATGCCCTGGACCTGGTTGCCCTGGTTACCAACGTGGTTCTGGAGGAGCACTACCTGATCGTGGGCGTGGTGGTGGTGGTCGACCCCGGCGTCATCCCAATCAACTCCCGCGGAGAGAAGCAGCGCATGCACCTGCGAGACGGCTTCCTTGCCGACCAGCTGGACCCCATCTACGTGGCCTACAATATGTGAAGCACACACGGGACGGAGGACACGGGACGGAGGACACGGGACGGAGGACAAGGAACGGAGGACACCAGACAGAGGACTTGTCACAGGGGGCATGGAACAGAAGACAGAAAACATAGGCAGAGGACATTGGACATGGAACAGAGGACACAGATAAAGGACACGGGACAGAGGACATGGAACAGAGCTGTCACCACATGATGTCCGAGTATCTAGGGGGGTCTGGTTGTCCTTTGTGTTCTTACATTTTTATTTCTTCAGTCATTAGTCAACATCAAGAAAATCAAATATGGACTATTTTACAGACAGAGGGTTGGGCTGAAGTTTAACATGAACCTGATTCTCAAAAACGGGACAGGACGTCACACAAACGCTCTACAATAATAATACATGAAAGCATCATCAGGATTCATGGTGAGTCATGAGGAGTCTCACAAGTCCTGGAGTTAGTGAATTTACATTTATCTGGTTTTATCATGATCTTGATGAGTAAAAAACCAAGACCAGAGACTAAGCTAACCGCAGATCAAACCCACAGCGGTAATAAGTGAATGAGCTCTTCATTAGCTCTTCATTAGCTCTACATTAACTCTTCATTAGCTCTACATTAGCTCTTCACTAGCTCTTCAATAGCTCTACATTAGCTCTTCATTAGCTCTACATTAGCTCTTCATAAGCTCTTCATTAGCTCTTCATTAGCTCTACATTAGCTCTTCAATAGCTCTACAATAGCTCTTCATTAGCTCTACATTAGCTCTACATTATCTCTTCAATAGCTATACATTAGCTCTTCAATAGCTATACATTAGCTCTTCAATAGCTATACATTAGCTCTTCAATAGCTCTACATTAGCTCTACATTAGCTCTTCAATAGCTCTACATTAGCTCTTCATTAGCTCTACATTAGATCTTCAATAGCTCTACATTAGCTCTTCATTAGCTCTTCATTAGCTCTACATTAGCTCTTCATTAGCTATTCATTAGCTCTACATTAGCTCTTCATTAGCTCTTCAATAGCTCTACATTAGCTCTTCAATAGCTCTACATTAGCTCTACATTAGCTCTTCATTAGCTCTACATTAGCTATACATTAGCTCTTCAATAGCTCTACATTAGCTCTTCAATAGCTCTACATTAGCTCTACATTAGCTCTTCAATAGCTCTACATTAGCTATACATTAGCTCTTCAATAGCTCTACATTATCTCTTCATTAACTCTTCATTAGCTCTACATTAGCTCTCCATTAGCTCTTCATTAGCTCTACATTAGCTCTTCAATAGCTCTACATTAGCTCTTCAATAGCTCTACATTAGCTCTACATTAGCTCTTCATTAGCTCTACATTAGCTCTTCAATAGCTCTACATTAGCTCTTCATTAGCTCTTCATTAGCTCTACATTAGCTCTTCATTAGCTCTACATTAGCTCTTCATTAGCTCTTCAATAGCTCTACATTAGCTCTTCATTAGCTCTTCATTAGCTCTACATTAGCTCTTCATTAGCTCTACATTAGCTCTTCATTAGCTCTTCAATAGCTCTACATTAGCTCTACATTAGCTCTTCATTAGCTCTACATTAGCTCTTCATTAGCTCTACATTAGCTCTTCAATAGCTCTACATTAGCTCTTCAATAGCTCTACATTAGCTCTTCATTAGCTCTACATTAGCTCTTCAATAGCTCTACATTAGCTCTTCATTAGCTCTTCATTAGCTCTACATTAGCTCTTCATTAGCTCTTCATTAGCTCTACATTAGCTCTTCATTAGCTCTTCAATAGCTCTACATTAGCTCTTCATTAGCTCTACATTAGCTCTTCATTAGGGGTGGTTAGACTTTGAGCTGGTCTTGTTTTTTTGTTTAGTTTTCAAGAAAGAAGTTCTATTAACGATAAAGTCATTCATGTAGTATTATTATACCGTTTCAGAGACCTCACTTCACTGAGACTGAAAACCTGTCAACACAACACACCGAAGACATTTTCTGCTAAATACTAAACTGTAACGCGGTCCTACGACAAACACAACAGATCAGAATGTAGCGAGACGCAAACCCCGACACTTGAGGTGTGTGTGGCCAGTTATGGTCGGGTCGTTTGGATGGAATGACACCCTTTTGAGACATAAATTATACTTTTACTCAAATAAAGTCACAATTTATGAAGATCAATTGAAAAACATGTCGAGATGTACGAGAGATCTAGACCTGATGATGTCGCACACTTATGAATTGAAAAAAAAAAATTGAATTAACCGCGTAGAGCAAAACAAAAAATGCATTGAGAAAAAATATCTGCTACTTTTGGAAAGCAGCGTTCAATTACCAAATTTGGCAGCGTGAGGTATTTGCTTCTTTGAGTTCATACGTTAGTTCATGCTTAAAGACACACCGCGGACTTTGTGACCTAAAGAGTTGACACATATGAGTTATTTTATATGAATACTTGGGCCAATATACAGCGCTTGACACTTGCAATGCTCCGAGCGGGGCTGCCCTCTTGAAATACCGCCCATGTAAGTTTAGAGCAGACGGACCGTCTCCCACCAGGTCACGTGACTTGGAAGAAAGATTTGCTTTACGGCTACAGGCGCTGATATACTCATGGAGCTAAGGCTTTTGCTACTCATTTTTCACCTGCTCGACTCCTGGTCATGGCTGAGGCAAGGAAAAATTTTAAACCTTCGGAGGAGGCTAAAAAGAGGAAACGCGAAAGGGATCGTGCTGTAAGCTGCATGTCTGTATGAGCGCTGCTGTTCACCTGGTTCCTGGATGTCATCGACTGCAAAGATGTCATTCCACGCAGCACGAGCTAGACGCAGAACTCCCTCATCCAGGATATAGAAGTCCATGTGTGGTAGATTACTAATGCAGCGGTCTGGAGGCTGACCACAGCAGAGTCTCTCAATATCTGTAGGCATGTCTCTACAGTTTGAACACACACACCAGTGCATGCTGTCTGAATACACACTCAAAAGACACCGGCTGACTGTTGACTTTTGCGACAGTGCTGAGTTGCTTGTGGCCACTAGGGGCGCTAAACGTGAAAGTTGCAGGTCTAGCGCCCCTAGTGGCCAAGAGTTACACGGTGTGCCTTTAAACCAAAAGGTCGAACTACTTTTGCCATTACCGTTTTTTTGCCGTTATTATTTTAACCGAGGGTGCTACGGGGTTACATTTGTAAAATAATAGCAACTTCTTTAATGTGATCTCAAAAGCCAGAAAAATGGTACAAGGCCGGTCTACTTCAAATGGTTGTTAAAAAAAACTTTGCAGAAATGAGGTTTTCAGGAATGTCATTAATATCACTCTTTCAAAGCATTAACACGACGAGTTATTCTGAAGCCCAGACGGAGCTGTGAATGCACACTGCAAAAAATGACACAAAATGCTTTATTTCCTCATTCCACAGCAGACATTTCTTGAATCTTTTTTTAAAACAAGATAAATTTGCTTTGTCCCATCGGCCAATCTTGTTTTTAGGCAGAATGTGCTCAAAATAAGCCAGAATTTAGCCATTTTTAGCTTATTTTTCACCACTTTTTGCAGTGCAGTATCAGTGTCTTAAACGTTTCCACTTGCCAAAAGACGTACTCGCCTTAAGTACCTTTCCGATCACTTTGCTTTGCCCACTGTCGGACTGAGCTGTGGCTTTGAACCCACGTGTTTTTAAAATGTGACTTTTGTAAGAGCAGCTAAACTCGGGGATCGATGAATGTGCCGAGGCGACTGCGGCGAACGGTGTCATATTCTTCCATCTTTGACTGTTGTACAAAATCATCCCACTCTTTCTAATGTGTAAAAGCTGTAAGTATGTACAGGAGACGTGTAAATTATTAATATTTGCTTATGATGAGACTGATCCGTTGGAAGCTGAAGAGAGCTGGGTGAGATCAGCACACTTTGTTAAGAGAGAGAGAGGTTGGCCGTCATTATTTTTCATAACCCGATTTTTGATTAATAAAAATGATTTGAACTTAAACTGGTCATGACGCGATTCATTCTCTAATCTATTGGTTTGGGTGAGATGGAAATACATTTTGTCTAGAATTTTCCATTGTGAAAGGTAATTTTATACTTTTCCTTCTTATTGTAGAAGAGAGATACTTTATTGATCCCCGTAGGAGAAATCCAGGTGTCCAGTAGCAGCAAAAGGAGGAGGACGGGTCACAGCAGCAGAGGTGGACTAACAGCTGGGTGGAGGAGGACGGGTCAGAGCAGCAGAGGTGGACTAACAGCTGGGTGGAGGAGGACGGGTCAGAGCAGCAGAGGTGGACTAACAGCTGGGTGGAGCAGGACGGGTCAGAGCAGCAGAGGTGGAGTAGCCGCTTGGTTTGGACCATTTTCTCTGCTCTAGTCCAAAGTAAAATGCTAAATGCTTCATTAGAATTTTTCAAAAAGCCAGCATTCCTCCAGTGGATTTTCACCTGATCCTCTTGGTTCGGACCATGAATCCTCTCTGCTCTGGTCTGGACCAGTGTTAAACCATGAATCCTCTCTGCTCTGGTCTGGACCAGTGCAAAACCATGAACACTGAACTGCAGCAACATCTCAGGCAGGAAAAAGCAATACAAATAAAAATTGTAAAGCACAAAAACAGAGGTACTTAGGACTTGTAGCCGTTTCCCAGCGCATCTTTCCACACAAAAAAACGTGTGGGTGACGCATTCTTTCACCTTTCTTTGGACACTTTCCTCTGAACATATAACACATACATATAAACATAAAACATATACATATACATATACATATGAACATATAACATATAAACATATAACAAATACATATAAACATATACATATAAACATATGAACATATAACATATAAACATATGAACATATAAACATATACATATGAACATATACATATAAACATATACATATAAACATAAAACAAATACATATAAACATATACATATGAACATATACATATAAACATATACATATAAACATATACATATAAACATAAAACAAATACATTGGACCAACTAGATGCACTTTTGTGTTTAG